GGGCGGCCATTTTCTCTTTGCGGCACAGGCCAGTCGGTCGTGTTCATCTTCAGCTTGTGTTGTCCGCTAACATACAGCGTCCTGCCGCCAGACTGCGCAATCCTAGCGCGGTCTGCTATCTCAATTCCTGTGCGCAGGCTCTTCACTGGCTTGGTGTGCTCACTGATGCCCCTAGCGGGTGTCATGGGTCGGCGCATGCGGCCCTGAGGTTGCTGAATCGGCCAGGGCTAGTTTTCCTTCCAGGGAGCTTGCAATGGAACCCGCTCATCAGAGGCTGGAGGCGACTAACACAACAACATGATGCTGCTGAATTCATGACACATCTTCTCCTCTGCTGTGCCCCGGAGGGGTTTGTTGGCTGCTGGCAGTCGCGCCTCACCAATCCTGTGCAGGTGGCTGATGCGGGTAGCCTGGCTGCCCCGATACCCATGGACCTCGCAGGCGGCACCATACAGGATGTAGTTGACCGTTGGTCCGGGCAAGCAGCGGTGCATGCAGTTGCGGATCATTCCGGGGTTTTGCTAATCCAGCTCATGCGTTATGCGGTTGGAGACGCGCAGCCTGTGAAGGATAGTCGTCATGTGCACATTGCGCCAGGTCAGAGCGTTGCTCTGCCGATCTTTCAGGACTCTGAGGGGACCACCGTTGTGTGCCAGACGTTTGTGATTGCCTTCGTAGTTTATCACCATGGCAACACTGTCCACAGTGGGCACTATCAGTCCGCCCTGAGTATCCCAACGGTGGAGAGGTCGGGCACACAGTGGAAGTTTATCATCTGCAATGACAATATGCACCCACGGGAGGCAAATGCAGATGACATTAGGGACATAGCATGCAATGCCTACATAGTGGGGCTTCTTAGAGCTCTTTAGGGTGGGCTTGCCTGCTGTGGGTTAATGTTTTGCGCGGGCTGCCGATGTGTAGCCAGTGCCGCCCCGATGACATCATCCGTGCGTCATAAAGGGCACTCGAGTTCGCTTTCCTGTACGTGTTTTTGCACAGGCTGCTGCCGGCAGCACTCATGAATTCATTTTCGCATTTGACGACCATACACCCTCCTTTGTGATCAAGCCTTGGGTTCAAGTGTTGGGGGCCTCCACGGGCATTTCTCTTTCGTGCGTGCCTGCTGTCAAGCCAGGCCCTCGGTACACACTTGGAGCCAGATTTCTGTCTCTCCTGCCTCGGCTTTTGCACGAGCCAGCTCACTAATACTGCTCTGGCAAGCTGGCTGGCTCTGAGGGACGGGCCTCAGCTGTGTTGTGTAGGGAAGGACCGCGCAACTGTATCAGGCGAAGGGTGCCTGATCACTGCTCTGCTTGTGCTGGCCATGGCATGGCACGTTCCGCTGCCTTCGCATCTTGCTGTCGTGGGGAGAGAAGAAGCGCTTCTACTCGGCAAACTGCGCAAACTCCGTTGCATGACGGATAGGGGCATGACTCTGCCGCCAGCTGTCACACTCTGCCTACGCAATGAGCTTTTGGTGGTAGCCAAAAGCTGGCTCCCGCGCGCAGCCTGGCCGCACTATCTGGACTACGTCGAGGCGGTGGACTCTGCTGTGCCAGATGATGGCATCACCACCTTCCCGGCACTTTGTGCGGAGCTGACACCTGAAGCACCGTCCCGGGCGGAGGCTACAGCTCGTGACTACCTGCTGGAGGGCCGTGGCTCGCTCTGGGCTGCGGCTCGAAGCGTCATGCGGGACCTGGCGTTCGAGACGGATCAGCACCACCTCGCGCAGGGTGGCACTTTCAAGCTGGGCCTTTACACGAAGGGCGGACTCCTAGGACTGTCACGTGCTACGGCCTCGCATGGAGCCGTCTGTCAGGTCCTCAATGCTCTGGTGATCACAGTGGCTCGCTCATTGCGGGGTTTTAGCTGGACCAGCCTGGTGGTGAATTACAACAACGTCGTGGACCCACATGTGGACCGCTGCAATGCCTCGGCACTCTGCCTGCTCATTGGTGTCTCTCACCACTGTGGTGGAGAGTTCTGGATACAAGATGCCAGTGGCACCGACTACCAGGATTCCGAGCAAGGGTTGCAGCGTGGCAGGACCTTGGCGACAGCAGGGCAAGCTATCGCTTTCAATGGTCGTGAACACCTACATGCTGCACTTCCTTCCACCCACGGTGACCGCTGTGTTCTTCTCGCGTTTACCACGGGGAACCATGCCCTATGTACTCCGGAGCAGTTCCATCTTTTACGCGGCGTTGGATTCGTGCTGCCTCAAGAGGCAAACTGCAGCGGGATTCCCTCTTCTCCCCTCTTTTGGTTGCCTACTGTTGGTTCGTAGTCCCCTTCCCCTTTGTCTTCCATGGCAAAGGCGGCGCTTAGCGGGGCATTGAGCTTACCCCACAGCACGGTACGCATGCGCAGGAATGTGTGCAGGAATGATTCCTCTGATACGGCTGTCCTGAGGAGGCCCTGCGGACACCTTGTATGGCCTGCCCGGCCTATGGGCCGTTTTACTCGTACAGCTTCTTTGGCTGAGTAGTGTGGCCATATGAAAAATGCTCTGTTGTATGCAGCCGCCAGTGTTGTGCAATTGCCACATGAGATACTGCGCATGCCGCGCGTGCTGCTTACAGTCAGCTGTAGTCTCATCCCAAATCGTGCGGGCGCTGAGGTCTTTTCTCTGCGCTGGGTGCGGATGGAGCCGAGGACCTGTGCTACAGCTGGATGTGACCGGACCTTTTCCAGTGGCGGGCATCGTCACTGCTGCAGGGACTGCAGGCAGATGCAAGGAGCGCGGCACAGCCACCGCTGTCAACGACTGCACCAACTACTCCGGGGACAGGGTGTGCGTATCTGCGCCACTAGCGGATGTCAACTGCTTGCTCATGCCACGCATGATACGTGCTGCTCTGCTTGTTTGCCGACCCAAGGAACCTTGCACACCAGACGCTGCAGGAGCCGCAATGTCCAACCACCAACGGGACGAATGGGCTCTACGCGTGGATCTAGTCAGACTGGTGCACCGGGGACTACCGGCACGGCTTCTGGTGTGATGCCCCACTCAGCACCTTGTGCATCCACGATGCTCCACATCCCAATAGAGCTTACGATGCACACTCACTCCGAGGTCCCGGAGGGGCGGACCGCCGAAGTGGGTGGGACAAAGATGCAGCCGAACACAGTGGTGCAAGCTGCCTGTGGTGTCTCCTCGAGTGGCTCCTGGCCGGGGTCATTCGAAGGACATCCACCATGCTCGGCATCGACGAGGCTGGATGTGCATAGTGTACAGGAGGCTATCACGATCACGTCGTCTTCGGAGGAGGGAACTCCGTGGACCATGAATCTGGAGGAGATGGACTGATCCTGCGGCATGCGCTTTATTTTTGAAGTAGTTATGGAGCCATCACAGCATGGTGCGGCTTTAAGCTGCCGGGCCTTTGGGTCTGTCTTCGCAACGTGTTGACATGGACACAGCACGGCGCTCGAGTGAGTGAGTACTATTATTACTACTATTACTACTATTACTACTTTTACTACTACTACTACTACTACTCCTACTACTACTACTACTACTACTATTACTACTACTACTACTACTATTACTACTACTACTACTATTACTACTATTACTACTATTACTACTATTACTACTACTAACTACTACTACTACTACTACTACTACTACTACTACTACTACTACTACTACTACTACTACTACTACTACTACTACTACTACTACTACTACTACTACTACTACTACTACTACTACTACTACTACTACTACTACTACTGCTATCACTACTACTATCACTACTACTACTACTACTACTACTACTACTACTACTACTACTACTACTACTACTACTACTATCACTACTACAATCACTACTACTATCTCCACCACTACTACTACTACTACTACTATTACAAAAACTACTACTACTACTCCAGCTCCTGCTCCTCGTGCTCCGGCTCGTGCTGCTGCTACTGGTACTGCTACTGCTAGTACTACGACTTCGATTACGACTGTGACTTCTAACACACCACCACTGTTTCTAATCATTCTAATCCTTCCCCCTGACTTGTCGAGCACGAGTGACAAAAAAAAATCCTTCCCCCTCATGAGGCTGGCTAGCTGATCTGTTTATCTCAGCGCAGTCTGTCCTGTCGGCTTGCGTCGGTGCTTTGAGATTTTGTAGTAGGATGAAGCGAGTACTAACGCATGATTCTGCAGAACCTTTTCCGAACACACAGAAAAGCCACTGGCATATTGAAAACTCCAAAAACCAACCCTCAAATTTGAGCACTCGAAGTTTTCGACGTCGGATCGGTACTGCCACCATGTGTCTTCTTGTGTCTACTTCTCTCGCGCCATCTTGGATTCTCTGTCCAGTTCGACCACTCCTTTGTCTCCTTTGTCTTTCCTGCACATGTAGTACTTGTCATGACTTAAAAGATGTCCACTGAGCTGTGGTCTTACCTGTCAAGGTGTAGTTACAAGCTTTAGTGATAATGGCACCTTCACATATCTCCGCCCCAAAAACATGCAACTAGTGGGATACACTGTAGCATACTTGGTGCAAGCCCGAGACTTCAGCCTTATTCGAGGAGTATAGAGGCAAGTGCATGTGTAATTCGAGTACTATGGCATAAGGAATAGCTCTTGGGGTGAAAAGCATTTGAGCCGTCGGTGGACACTCCGAGCATACTTTGCATACTGTCGAAATGGGTCCAAGGATACTTTGGGCACCCAAAGGAATACGTAGTGCGAGGAGAGCAGCTGCCTTAAACCCTGACAGCCCCACACCGACAGTGACCTCTCCATTGAGAGTCTTGCGATGGAACTTGTAAGTGCACCGGTGGTGTTCGTATGAATGCAACAAGCATGTCAACTCTATGGAGTATCCGAGGTTGACATGATGCAGCAGTAGTCCTCAATATTGAAGCATGCCTGGGCGCTGGCACATTTTCGGAGCGGGGTCGTCTATGATAGTCTCGGAAAGGGCCCCATTACTGTCCCGAGACAGTTGATTTCCCGAGTTGAGGAAGCAAGTGGGTCCAACTTCACGTTGGCCACCGCTGCCACGCCGACATGTTTTCCTTGAGCGGACTGCAAACGGAGCGAGAAGCTGAGAGATGCAGTGGCAGTTGGGGCATGCAACTTTCGATGCTACGTGAGGTTTCACCGGCTTGTGCCGAAAGAACTCCGGGAAATCATCAACAAAAGACAATCAATACCGCATAAGAGCTCTTGTGTTGTAGCGTGTCCTAGCCAAATGCTGGCGAGTTTGAAGTATGTGTCATTTGGCCCCTTCAGAAAATCAACGGGGCTGCGCGCAAACATGTGAATGGTTTAACATCTCGGGGGAGACATGGCAATCTGATAAGCAACGGCTGGAATGCCGCTTACGTGCACCAGTGAAGACGTGCCTGCCTAGATAAGATGCCGGCAACCGTTCCGAAACACGAGTGTAAGTTTGTTTAGCATAGGACTTGTGAAGCGATGTTGGGCGGCTATTGCATGTAGATTGCGGCTCTTCTCCTGGCTATGCTATGCCTTTAAGCTTTCCGACATGAAAACCTAGGGAAAACCATGTGGGCACCTGCTGCATGTTCGCTGCCTTCGCTGCTTGAAAGGAGATTTCGTACCCTGCTGCATGCTTACAAGGAGAAAGATACAGAAGCATGGGGAACCAACCGTGGTTGTACCTGCATTGTTGTAGCAGCTCAGGCAAGTGCTCACAAGTGTTCCGAAGCCCGCACAGCTTTTTTCTGCACAAGACTTTGTACGGCCTGCTTCCCCCAACCCCCAACACCTACACCGCCCATTTGCACGGCCAAATGCAATCAATCCGCAGATGTCCAGCCCTCTGGGGGACGGAAAGCCGAAGCGAGCCTATTTGCGTGTCGTGCATAATCGGAGTCTGCGGGCAGCGCTCAACAAGTCGAGAAACACAAGCAACATGAACAATGCGAAAACCGAAACCAAAGAAAAACAGAAACAGCGAAAGCAAAAGTGGTAACTAATACTATGGCTGCCTAAATGGAAAGGTATTAGTTTAACGATCATTCATTACTGTTTACTATGATGATTTCCTTTAGCTATGATTGCTACTACTGTTGTATTTCGGATTTTGCATTCTTCGCGTGGTTCGCGTGTGTTGGCTTTGTGTTTTTTGCGTGTTCGCGTTCTTTGTGCTCGTCGCGCTTTCCTGCTTTTCGGTCTTCTCGCGGGTTGCACGTCGCTTCTGACGGTCCGAAAGGGCGCAGACATTCTTGCATCTCGAACTGGAACGAATTGAGAGCTTTGCGCTGGCCCCTGTCCGTTCCTAATGACTTGTGCGGCTTAGCCCGGACACAACGGCAACCCCAGCAGCTCCATCTCCATCCCCCCCTGCGAGCAGCGAATGTCCTGTAATGACTTCCTTAAGCCTTAAAAGCAAGAATCATGTGGGACTATGGCCTATGGTGATTCAATTGCAACGAAATCATCACCAGTGGCTTGCACCAGGTTGGTAACTGACAGTGAGCAGTTGTGCCAGGCGCAGCAGACATCAATTGCCCTTGTGCTTCCTTCGGACATGTCATGGGTGCGCGAGACCTTGTGAGGCTGCCGCTTCTGCTTACGTCAGGTGCAAGTTGGCCGAGGCATCGTCAGGGCATGTCAGGGCTCATCAGGTCTCCACTGTTGCGGATGTGGTCGAAGCTGAGGTTGAGTCTGATCATAAAGACGCCACTTAGCATTTGTGGCTCATGCAGCTGTAGCTGCTTGCAGTCTGCGATTGTACCGTATCTACTCCAAAAGGGGGTGTGTTGCCAGGTGCTGAGACAAGTTGGACAGCAGATGGATCCTTGTGTTTCCTTTTCAACCCATCAGATTTCTTCAACGCATCGGATCCTACGACGAACTCAGTTGCACGTAGCGCCCAAATCAAAAGCTATGGAGTTGGCTTTCGCCCAGTGGGTCTGTGCCTGATTCGCTGAATACATCAAGATCAGAGCTCGTAGATTGCATGAGTCACTCCCCTGTGGCCCACAGCTCTGACTGAGGTCTGTGCATTTGCTCTTGTCTTGACTGTGGTCGCTATACTGCTGTTGGCCTCAAGCTCAGTTTGGCAACAGTGCGAGGGTCACCAAGTCTTCCTTTGCGTAAGCTGAGCTCGTGCAATCCAGCATGAGCCGGCACCCCTACGCTTTCCTGCTTTTCGATTGTTCTTCGACGCTGATAGCTGCCTCGGAGGTGTGAGTGTTGTTTCGTAGCCGGTTCGAGTTTTGAGCCTGTGGCGAAGCGGGCCTCCGTCTCGCAAGCCGCAGATCCAAGCCGACCGTCTCAGAACCAGCGATGTGCCTGGCCCGGCCCGGCCCTGCCCCAATAGCCGTGCGAAGCCTACGAAACGCAACGAGTTCAGAGGCGCTTGGCTGAGTAGTGTGGCGGCAGCGGGAACGAGGTATTCTGCCCATCGGGCGGCTGACCAAAAGAACGGATCCTGTCCGAATCTCTTGCAAGAATCAGAGCTCCACGAGTAAGCGTGCATGCGCGCGCATGTGTTGTGTTTGTGCTGAGATTTTTCGCGGGAGCACTTTATTGATTGAGCGCATGTCGCATGTGGATTTAATGCAGCAACCAACGACCTTCAGCATCTGAGCATCTCGAGACTCGAAACCTCATTCATGAAAACATCAGCCAGCGAAACGGCAAAGGTTGTTTCCTGTGAGTCTGGTGACCTTGCGGATGCCAGATTTGCGGGACTCATGGAAGACAACACCTGGTTACTAGTACTTGGCTGAATCTTAGCATCAAGGAGCGAGGACGTGCGATTACTGCTAGATGGCGTTGACAGCTGAAATAAGGTGTAAGAACCACCTCGAGTGCAAAGATGGCTTGCGAATGCTTACGGAATTTGTGGACTGTCAGCCGCAGCAGAAGTTCAGAATAGACAGCTTCGGAAATGCTTGTAAAACCAATGAAGAGGATGATGCTGATGCATGCAGATGACGTCATCCTAACACACCGCGGATGGTCAGGCACAAGGAGGCGGCATGCTTGGGCTGCATTCGCGCAATTCCCCGAGCGGAACTTGGTGACGAGCAGTTTCGAGTAGTTCTTACATGTTCTGAAACATGAGCTCCACAAGGGACATGTGGGACGACGGTACTTCCCGTGTTGTGCTTGTCTTGCTACGAGAAAGGTAGTGCTTTGGTCTGGCACAGATCAAACACAGACTGGACATATGTTGCCACTCAATGTACATACAGATCAACGATAGTCAAGCTAGATAAGGTCAGAAAATACGGAGGTGCGAGCATCAGCAGCAGCTTGTGTCCCAGAAACAAGTTCCAGCTCCCACGTGTAGGGTTGCCCATCGCATGGGAATACCAGAATGAATCTGTTGTGACGGGACATGGATTTGGGATACTACAGGTAAGGTTCGGACTTCTCCCAGACGCCGAAGCCTCAGCGGAGTAACCGTCCCTCTGCCTCCCCCCCCCGCCTATTGCCGGATTGATGGCTGGCTGATAGTAGTAGTTAATGTAGCAATCGTGAACTTGAAGCTAGTAACAACTACAAGTCAGAGGACTGATAATAATAGAGACGGCCCGGCACGAGTTTTCGCGGTAAATTCCTGCTTTGTGAACCAGGGAGTCGTTTGTTGTCAAATAATCATCATGACACGAACTTTTGGAATGCCTGACAACTTGACAACTCCAGGGACTCCAGAGGTCCAAAAAGGAGTGCGTATTACCGTGTATGTCGGTGCCTTTGTTGCTCACTTTTTCACAACACGTGTTGAAAGTCGGAAGATGGTAGCTTGACATCACAGCGTCTCGGCCGCTGCGGCCGAGACCATGCAGGGGTCCTGGCCTAGTCTTTGAGCGTCGGCTCTAGAATCGATGCATTTCTGCCTTTCGTGGTGTCCCCGTGCCCCCACATGGCTCATCCCAGAAAATGCACGGCCTGTCCAAAACGAGCGGACCGCAACCCCAACCTTAACGGGACGGTGACGGCTATCATGGTGGTGGTCGCAGTAGTAGTAGTAGTAGAAGTAGTCCTAGCACGACTACGATAGTAGTAGTACCAACTAGTAGTCTAGTAGTCGTAGTAGTAGCTGTTGTAGTAGTAGCAGTAGTAGTAGGCGACCCCCCCTACCAACTACCCCTTTTGCATGCATTGCTTTGGTGGGGTGGGTGGGGGGGGGGGCTGATAACGTACAGGCAGCCTCGAACAGTTATGACCACCCATTTTCGAATTTTCGCTGAAAGCCCTCGCAAAGGCAAAAGACAACGTAGCAAAGTCCAGAGGTAGGCTTGACGACTAGAAAGAGGGCTGACGTCACGAACGCACTGTAAATACCGAGTAAAATGGCTCCTCCGGGTTAGTAATGGAGTGTGACATGAGCAGAGTACTTTAAAGACCGAGTAAAAAAGCTTTCCCCCACCCAATTTCGAGTTTTTCGCTGAAAGCCCTCGCAAAGGCAAAAGACAACGTAGCAAAGTCCAGAGGTAGGCTTGGCGACTACATAAGATATCAGACGTCGCGAAAGTACTGGAAATACGAAGTAAAATTGCTCTTTCGGAGATGATGTCCGGGGTGTCGGCGTAACAATGTCGTCATCATTCTTCCCGCACCCTCCCACCCCCAAACAAAAAGTCCAGAAAACGATCCCGGAGTTTCAAAACTCGGAGGTTGTTCTTGAGGCTTCATAAGATGTTGCTACATGCCGAAAGTGCTGTAAATACCGGGTAAAACGGATGTGGGTTACAAGCGTATGTAACACGAGGTAGTGGGTAGCGGGGTGGCTAGTAGTAGTAGTTGTTGTTGTTCATTGCGCCGGCAATTGAGGACTGCTGTTTGTTCCCAAAATCTTGCCCATCCTGATATTCTTGCTAATCTTGCAATCTTTGGTCGGCCACGCGGGGTTGGCTGTTTACGACCAATCTTGCCAGTCTTAGTCTTGTAATCTTGTACCACTTGGGCCAATCTTGCACAAGTGGTGCAAGTGGCGCAGGAGCAGGAGCAGGAGCAGTCCTCGTAGTCGTCGTCGTCACAGTGCCGTTGCAACCATGGCCGTGCAGCCGTAGCTGCCGTACTAGTAGTAGTAGTAGTAAGTAGTAGTAGTAGTAGTAGTAGTAGTAGTAGTAGTAGTAGTAGTAGTAGTAGTAGTAGTAGTAGTAGTAGTAGTAGTAGTAGTAGTAGTAGTAGTAGTAGTAGTAGTAGTAGTAGTAGTAGTAGTAGTAGTAGTAGTAGTAGTAGTAGTAGTAGTAGCAGTAGTAGTAGCAGTAGCAGTAGCAGTAGCAGTAGCAGTAGCAGTAGTAGCAGTAGTAGCAGTAGTAGCAGTAGTAGCAGTAGTAGCAGTAGCAGTAGCAGTAGTAGCAGTAGTAGGAGTAGTAGGAGTAGTAGGAGTAGTAGGAGTAGTAGGAGTAGTAGGAGTAGTAGGAGTAGTAGGAGTAGTAGGAGTAGGAGTACGAGTAGTAGTAGTAGTAGTAGTAGTAGTAGTAGGAGTAGGAGTAGTAGCAGTAGTAGTAGTAGTAGTCGTCGTAGGAGTAGTAGTAGAAGAAGAAGTAGTAGTAGTAGCAGTAGAAGGAGCAGTTGTTGCAGTAGTAGTAGCAGCAGGAGCAGCAGTAGTAGTAGTAGTAAGTAGTAGCAGTAGTAGTAGTAGTAGTAGTAGTAGCAGGAGTAGTAATAGTAGTAGTAGCAGCAGTAGTAGTAGTAGTGTCAGGAGCAGGAGTAGGAGCAGGAATAGCAGCATATAGGAGTAGGAGTAGGAGTAGGAGTAGTCGTCGTGGTGGTGGTGGTGGTGGTTGCACTGGTAGTAGCAGCAACAGCAGCAGCAGCAGAGTAAGTAGTAGGTAGAATTAGTAAGTGGCAGTGGAAAGTAGGAGTAGTAGCAGCCTGAGGACGGGGGAGGTTCGTACTTCCGAAATCTAAAGGAAGGCACCCTGTCGCATCTAACGGCGCTGTCTATATAGATTGACTCGACACCACTTACTTCAACAAGAGGCTTATTGACTTGCGGGACTTGCGCTTTTGGTTGGTTGAAAATGTTCGCATTACCTGTCGGGTTTGGAAAAGGAAAACAAGGAGCAACTACGGTGCGGGACTGCTTTTTCTTTAGGATTGAAGGAGGTGGTGGAAGCATGTGGAACCGAATCATTCCAGGCCGTGCATCGCATCTGGAGCCCGTCGCATCCGCTTCCTATATATCTGTCCCGCAGGCACGCCCACGTGAGGGCTTACGCTTGAGACCAAAGCAGACGCCTTTGCGAAGGCTCTTTGCTGCTCACCTCTTTGCGTGCCTCTTCATGGAGCTCCGCAAGGCACCTCCGATCAGCATTTCGGTCTTTTGCAACCGCAGTGCCTGTCGTTGAGGCGACGGTGTGGCTGGAGCTGCTGACCTGGACCCTGGCGCTGCACGTTCTTTATTTCGGCCTTTGTGAGAAGGGGGCGTGTTGGGCTGAGATTTGTGGGCTGGAAAGAGTGCATGGGACAGTTGCAGTTGATGGCCGATCGTGCCTATAATCATTCACCAAACAATGTCAAGTCCATTGTGCCGCGCGCCCGCGGTCTACTGGTCGCACCAGATGTCCATAGCATGCTTTGGGGGGCACGGTACTTGGATACAAAGAGGTCGATGTTCGTGAGTTTTCAAGATGCCACCGGTACTGTACTGATGCTCATGTTGCAGAGCAGTCGGTAATTGGCAATGCGACGAACGAAAGCTTCAACTTCGGTCAGACTCTAATGCCGTTACTCACCTTTGCAGCGCCTGAGTCAGAAGAATTGGTCGTGAAGGTGTTCAGCACATGCGGAGAGCATAAGCCGAAACCTGCAGCGTCGGGGCTATCGGATGAATTAGGAGGTGTTATATTTGCAACAGCATCCGTGCTTTCCGGCCGAGCTGAGTCAGCACCCACAACCTACGAGGTAATTGCCGAAGTCTGCGGCAATCCATCGTTCATATGTGCAGAACATCGGTGCGAGGGGTTTCGGCTGCAGACACAAAGAGACATCTCGGGAGTAAGGATGACTGAATACGTCATCAGACAGTGGCGTCTTGATTATTAGCAGACGAACTTCCATCTCACTGGCCCTTTGTCATCTTAGTTTGCTGCCACGCAGCATTGGAAGGTTCTTATGAGGGCTCTGCTCTCCTGAATAACCCCGGCGCCAAGTGGTGGTCTGTGATTGAAAAACATCGACCACAGTCAGGCTTGCACATGTTGTAATAACAGTCGTCCGGTAATGTGGTAAGCTGAATGGCATTCACAGCCCACGTGAAGCTCAAGGGGTCGTGTGAAGAGCGGACGCGGGATACGGCATGCAATCCTCAGACGGGATTACTTTGCCGCTTCATTTTCGCATTGTGTGACACTGCTTCTCGAAGGTGGCATGTGACTCGCGTCCTTCACGGTCCAAGCTTTGGTGGTGCTCATGCAATGCTGCTCTCCTACCTGCCAGATCCCCAGCAGACTGTCAAAGTCGAAAGTTCTTGTGCTGCAATGCATGAAGAAAGTCTGGTGAGGAGTTCCGGGGTGCAGACTGGGTCAACAAGTTGTGCCCTTGAGGCTCGAAACTGTTGCTTAGGTTTGAGCAGCTAACGGCACCTCGCCAAGCAGATGCAGGTGGTCAGCTGAACTGGAGTACCTACTTGGTTCATGTTCAGTCAGATCTGTCGGAACCGGCCCGTGCCTGTGCAGGTGTTGATTCGTTCTGGAGCACTGTTTGGCAGCGGCCTGGCTTCACCACTTGCATCCGCTCGGTCTGAGGACGAAACACTTGGACTTTGTGCCACGCCTAACCTGCTCTCGCTACTCCAGACCCTGGTTCATGCCGTCCTATCCGTGATACCGAGCCGTGGAAGGTTTTTTGGGAACGGCACGGGTGCGCGTGCCAAGGTTCTGGCTCCACTGCGCGCCAGTCCTTCTGCATTGGGCAGATGGCTTGTTGAATTTCAAGGCGCCCGTCATGACATGGGGTGCATCGACAATTTTACGAAGTTTTCCCTTTGATTTTTGACCATGTGTTTTCGGTTGTTCAACAGAGACCCCCATGCTAAGCCTTCGTCGCAGGAGCTTCAAGCTGCCTACTCTCCACCGATGACAGGTGCCAGCGACCTGCTCCATCTTTGACAGATGGCATTACGGAACTCCTGTGTTGCATTCTTTTGATGATTCTAGCAACCAGAAAAAGTTTTGTTTGCCTCATTTCTCGAAGCCTCAACCCCGCCTGGTCTCGCATTGGTTCGGCTCATGTCTCGCTGCTGTAGCGGTTGTCAAATCCTCGATCCTGACCCTCAACCCACGAAAGCATGTTCAGTTGCATGAGCCAGCAGAGAAACAAGATGTTTGCTGGCTTCGCGAATTCTGGCAACCATGACTCCTTTCAGGGTTTTGGGCCGTGTGCTCAAGTCCTATGTCATAGAGGCTCCGAGTTCCGTCTCGCCTTCGTCGGTCAACGTCAGGTCATGGTGGCTTTGCGGGTGTGTTGAATCAGTTAGACTTTGGACAATGCAGGCAGCATTTGGCATCGGCGATCCTCTGGAAAGGAACAACTTCGTGCTACAATGTGTGCGTTTCGATGATCGTCTAGTCACTAGTCCATGCATTCGGATATGTTCGGGTTCGGATCATAGACTGAGGCAAGAAACTGCAGAGGTACGGGGGTGGACTATGATATGCGATTCGAAAAGGAGGCCGAAGCAGACCCCAGATGCAATCGCAAATGCAGCGGGATTGGTTGACCTTGCCTGTTGGATCACGTGCAGAAACAACCACATCCCGAAGATGGTGTCAAGACGCTACAAGTACCGTCCGAAACAACTGGCAGCTGTGTGCCTGCCAGCACGAGACGCAGGAATGCTCTTGTGCCACCGGGAGTCACTTCAAAAAAAGCGGCGGGGATCTGCTGATTCAACACGAATCATTTTCGGGCCTTCCTAAGCTTGCGTTGTGAAGCAGTCAGCGGTGCCACCGACGCAGGCCAACAACCTTTACGGATTGCTTCTGCTCGCATGCCTCTTCTGGAGGTTTGTCACCAACACGAAATCCCGATTGCAGGTGGCACGACGTCGATTTGGGATGCTGGAGGCAGCACCCAGCGGTAGATGGGCGCACGCTCGTCATGCTTCAAAGCCCACATCTTGCCATGTCCAGCAGCAAGTGAATCAACTCTGATGGTCCGATGGAGTGTCACGCTGGAGGGCTGGTCCCAGCGATGCGCTTTGCCTCGTCACGCAGCTTGCTGCGTGCCTGGTGGCGTGCCGAACATGTTGAATATGCAAGCACATGTTCTGGAAGTAGATTCAGATCTTCGGCAACATCCAAACGAGGTCTGCAGCTGCAGGATACTTCATGCTCGAATGTGCCTGGAGTACTACTACGCAGACGTCGCGACGCGCATCTCGTCATTGAAACTTCAAGCATGGCAAAACCTCGCAGTCGGCTGCGCAGTTATGCCTGCTTCCGCGCCCAAGGAATTCGGGGTGCACAAGCTCTTGGAAGTGTCCAGCATGGAGGAGGCACCCAGCCCAGTTGTGCAAAATGCAGGAGTCTACCGAAAAAGCTGTGTCACGTTATGCTTTACACCACGCCAAGGCCATGCAGTTGTAGGCTAGTCTCTGGTGGCACCAGAAGCTCTTTCCTAAAGACAATCGCGCTTGAGGTGCTTCGTTTGGCTGCTTCCCTCGTTGCATATTCTGTCCTTTGGCAGCACCACGCGTTTTTAATTTCATTTCCCTAGGATCACACCAGTCCAGTCTATGGTCGCAAAAGCTGTCAGAGAGAGCAAGTAGAGCAAGTGCTTTTCGAAACCAGGATCAGCACTTTCTCTGCATTCATCTGTGTATTCATGTCGACTGCGCACTGAGCCTTGGCGGGCCCGTCCCGTCCGGCAGATTCGCAAGACTCCAAGGTTTTCACACATCGGCTCTTTACGGTTCCAGACGCACCTGCCTTGAAGCAGCAAAAGAACACCTGAGTTGCCCACAGAGCGGCCCGGTCCACAAGAGGGCGCTTGTCATGTTCCTGGCCCTTGCTCGCACCGAGCATCTGAACACATCACCAAAGCATGCTCCAGCCGTACAGAGAGTCAAAGCAACTTCCTGCCTGCGGCTCGCTCCGGTTTCACCACCCAGTCTCTGTCTGCATCCGAGCAGAAAAGCCGCTTTTTTGCTGCCGAGGGTGTGAGTTGTGAGAGAGCGGGAGGCGGCCCAAGAGGCCAAGAGAGAGATGAGCGCAGGTCGCACGCATGCGAGACGGAGATTTGCTCACAGTAGCGTGGGCCCAAGGGGGCTTTCGCTTACAAGTTTGAATACTGTGTTCATGCCATTTGGTGCCGCGGCAGAAGCCAGCTGATTCGCACACTTGAGGTTCTAGCGACTGACTTTGGGCATCTTTGTGGAGCGGGGGGCTTGGTGGGCCGGCATGCACCGCTTGCTTGGAGGTACTCGTAGAGCTCCAGCACCTGCGTCGTTAGAAAAGATACGGCGTTGAGCAAGGAGAGGCTTGACAGCCGCAAGGAAATGCCAGGCAATGGCTATTGAGTCCAGTGAGGTCGTGGTTTCGGGAAGTCCATTGCAGCGCACCTGGGCTCTTTCTCTCGATTCTCCAGAGGCAAGGGAGTGGAGAGGGGTCTCTGCTGTAGAAGAGGAGGGTAGTAGTCGAAACACAGAAGTCTGTGCTCTCCAAGTGTCCGCAGGCGCAGGTCGACGAATCTGAAGCCAGCCCATCTGTGCCGCTCAGGCATCTACAATCTGCTTTGGTCGAACACAGTGTTTTTCTCTTTGCGCAATTTCTTGCCTTCTTGATTGATCATACGGACACGCGGAATCATCCTGGCATGCCGACACACCTTCCAAACATGAATCCCGAATAGTTTTCGGAGACTGACAGGAGGGAGGTTGAGCTTCGCTGTGGTGTTTTCGTGCAGCGGCTCAACTTGGTTAACATCGGCCACGAGGCGGGGAGAGCTTCGTGTGAGGCCTTCTGTTGTGACCGACCGTTGAAGTGATCGGTGTGTGATCAAGCAGAAGCCGTGCCGCATGCCCACCTTACAGTCTCACAACGTGCCACACTTGTGAGGTCAACTCTGCGGAGGAGCAGCCGCAAGCTGAAACGCTTTTCCCATGGCTCGCACGCGTTTGTGCTACTGCGTGCTTGATCCGTTTCGGCGTGGCATTGGCTCATCATTCTCTGAAATTTCGGTGATGTGCAACGCGAAAGCCTCAGGCCTGCATTTGGAGCGAGATGTCTCGCCTTGGCTAACGATGGCAAAGCTTCATACTGTGTGCGGGCCTAAAGCTTGACAGCACTGGAGAAAAGTGTCAGATCTCACTGTCCGTACGGTTTCTTGCTTCCCCGCCGGCCCAGGCAGTTTCTCCTGATGGAACCCGCAGCGTGTGAATCTTACTGACATGGACATGGCAATCGCATCAGCGACCTTTTGCTGCCGACGTGCTGTAGACTCCGAAAATTTCAATGGGCGGAATGAGACTTCCGGACCAGGTGGAAGCGTCCGGGAGGTGGGAAGTCATCAATGGTCAGGCGTTCTGGGCATGGTCCTGAATTGTCGCTGGTGTTTTGTTGGCTCTGTGTTTGGACAGTAATGGGCAGGTGGTCCTGCTCGGGCAAGATCCTTCTGGCCCATCTGTAAGCCATCTTCAGCTGCCAGCTCGGAAGCAACAACAACCATGTGAGCTTCAATTGTACTTGTTCGCGCTTGCATCAGCAGGCATGTATGCGATATTCAATATTGGTTTCCGGCTGCGATTTGCAAAGGCTGAGCAAGTCCAACACGCAATTGCTGGGTGGCCGTGCGTATGAAGAGCCGGTGCATGAGCACGCCTCAGCCACCTCAGTCAGTCCAGCCTTCGCAAGTTGTTTTCTGTATATGTTCGCACATGCTTGCACCTTTGGCATCGGAAAGGGCTTGGCTCGTCTGGCTCACAGGTGTCTTTGGAAGAGCTGGACGCATTTTTCGAGAAGCCCGTTGCATTCTCTGCAAAGGTCTCAGCATCATCTCGTATGTACAAAAGACCAAGATCGCCGTTACGACTCTGTTACACTTGCTGTACAGCGGTGTGGGTACCATCGTCTGCGGTGTTTGCCTCTTGGCTTGGACTTGAGGAGTGCATTCCAAGAGGCGGTCATCTGCTCCGCTTGCAGCTTCTGGAAGAGGCCAAACGAAAATTGCAGCAATCCACGGAGAAGCAAGTGCATCTTCGATTCTGCGTGCTCGAGTATGTTTAGTGTCCACTTGCCACCGCAGGGGCTTTCCGTGAGCGGCTGCCCGAGTGAAGACATCGCTAGAGCAACAGCAGAGAGACACCGTGAGCGAATCACTGAGGCGCACCACCTCAAGGAGGCCTTTTGCCTGTTATATGCCATGGGCCATGGACAGAGGGAAGATACCATGTCGCCCGATGAACTCACAATTACGCCTACATTATTGCCGCGTGCTTCTCCGATTCTCCGTGTAGATGCAGCATTCGGAAGTCTTGTGCAATTCCTAAATCTTGCAACATCTCTCCGTGCTGAGCTTCGCATGGGAGCTGCATAGGAGGGCTGATCGGTGCCGAGGCTCCACGCATCTTCTTTTACCACAGCCTAAGCATACCTAAGCCTCAGCATGCCAGTCCGCTTGTAGCTGGGATTCGGTGGTTTCTCGAGGTACAGCGAGCGAGGCTGCAGCTTGGGTCCTCAGCCGTGAACGATCAACCGGGAACATCGGCAGAAGCTGTTGTAAATGCAACTTCTGAACTCTTCCTTGGAGTAGCATTGAAATGTATCGCACCGTCCTCGACAGAATGATGCGCCTGCAAGCCGAGGTCTTGACGAGCGCATTGGACTCGACATTTAACACGGCTTCCTTCTGAGACCGAGACCAGTTTGGGAAAAGCTATGCACTTGCGACAGCACGGGTGCGCATTCGTTGGAGCATGCGGGCTGAAGCTTGTGCGGCGTGGGATATGTTGGATCATCTCCTGATCCTCAAGAGTGCGTGATCTCAGGCTTGGGACACTGCAGGCGATGCTCACAAGCTGCGCGATGAAAAGCAGTTGCAGTAGTAGTGCAGTAGTGTATATATACGACTGTATCGACTCTTGCGACTCGCCCAATCCGTATAAACGACTTGGAGCTGCCCACGGCTCAGTGCCAGGCCCCGTCGGGGGCCCCGTCAGGGGCCCCGCCGGCCCCGCCTCGTTGGATGCTCCAAAGCTCGCTGCCCAGTGGAGACATCCCCGCGCTCTCTCCTGCAACTGTGGTGTCAGAGGGCTTTCTGGCTTTCTGGCTCTGGCTTCTAAACAGCATGCGTGGCTGGAACCAAACCATGAGGTCTGACCAAGCCGCAGATGAGCGCCGGCATCCCGGACCAATATTTCTGAAAGCACGCACCCACGACGCACTGCTATCTCGGCCGTAGTTTTCGTAGCTAGTAGTTGGCACTGGTGTCTCTGCCGTGCGTGGCTGCCGACTCATCGCCGAAGCCTTGTGAGGTGTGTTCGTCTTGTCAGAGGGCACCTACTGTTTTATACTCGTCGGGTGTAGCCGGAAGCCAGGTCTAGTCCAAGTTACGGCCAGTCATGGCCGCATCTGTTGGGGCTTCAGCTCGCATCATACCCAGATCTGTTTTGGAGCTTGTTAAATCGGGTACAAAACGACCCGGCGGGTGATAATGTAGCGCTGGCTCCATCTTTTGGCAGACATGCCGAAGGTGCATACTTCCTGCGAACACCTGTTCATGCTTTGCTCAGCGAGCGCCTCAAAAGACAGCTCGGCATCCACAATGCTGCACCTAGGACCTAGGACCCAGCTACGTGGCAAAGTTTGCTGTGCACTTCTCGCACTTCTACGGCAGATTTCGCAGCCAAGGCTTGGCCAACCCAGCACCCAATCCACATGCGGATTCGGAGGATGGAAGGTGGAACTGTGGAAATGCTGATGGCACTGCGGCGCTGCGGCACACGGCACGACGGACCATGTCCACTGTCCAGGTCCGGGCTTCCGGCCGCTCCAAGGCTGCTGGGAGTGCAACGCCGCATCCTTGGGCCCACGGAGAGTCAAGCGACATCAAGCGAAGTGAATACTTTTCTTTGGAGCGCGGAGCGGATCGATCAAAAAGGTGGCATTACGACATCTCTTCCCTCGGCAGCCGACATTGGCTGGTGAGTGCCTGAGTAGCCGTCGGTTACAGTCGGCGACCTTTGGTTCGCTTTGCGCTGGGTAGCCCTTTGGGTGCGCTGGGTCCGAAATCGACTTCGTTCAGCATCGGACTCAGTGCCTGGATCCCTTGAGGGACGAGCCTGGTCAGGCGAGCCCGACACAGCTGGGAGCCTACACAGTGTCGACACGTTGACATGACCTCGGAGCGGCCTAGAGGCCTAGACCACCGTTGTGATGCTCATTAGTAAAATCAGCTGTTTATGCTTGCCCTGCCTTCGTCGAGCCTGCGGCTGGCAGAGCCACACGATTATGTGTAGATATGCCTTTAGCCCAAATGGTCGGCTCTTCCGGCGTGCACATCTTGGAGGACAGAACCGTTTGAAGAGGCGTAGATCCTGTCGCTCAGCGTGCACCTGCACTGCCTGCACTGTGTTCCTGCGGCTCCAGGAACAAGTTGACGAGGCGTATGAACCGACGAGCGAGGACATGCTTCTGCGCATGGTGATGCAAGTTTTTTTTGCAAAGCCCGGGCAGCACTTAGCCCTTGGCAACTCAGGAGCTTCGGGACTACGCAACTTGTCGAGTTGAGGCTGGCAGAGGCATAGGGAGTGGCAGCTGTGAAGCGGGAACTGCTGTTTTGCTAGGTCTTTTCTGGCAGGCTTAAGGCTAAGTTAAGGCTGAAGGACCGAATCTTCCATGCTCGGATTGTAACACTGAAGCTGAAGCTCTAAGGCAGAATGGCTGGGCATGGACCCCAAAGAAGACAACGACCTCCTGTGGATAGCCCGTCGAGGGCTGAAGACCCCATTGCCAAAGCCCTGGCGTCCGTTCGAGGTCGTGGCCCAAGAACTCTCCTGTGTCAAGCATTGGGCAACTGTTGCGTGATATCAGGCCGCAAGCGGGGACATCTTCTTTCACAATCCTGAAACAGGTTCACAGAGAATTGTGCATCATGTCAACGTGCCAACCGGGTTTGTCTGTCGCATGGTCAGGTGAAAGCCAATGGGACCATCCCTGTGACCATGAGCTGCGGAAACTTTATGCGTCTGAGAAGGAAAAGAAAAGGTTTGATTTGGACATCGCTCCAGGAACGCCTTGCAAAGACTTGTCCGTCAGTTCAATTTACGAGGAGACTTCTCCCCAGAGGTCCTTTGACGAGAATGAGCAGACACCTTCTCCACAGGTCAAGGTGCCCAGCGTTCGACTTGAAAGTCCGAAAGCCCCTGTTGCATGTGCCGGCAAGCCTGGTGAAGGCATCAAGCAAGCTCTGCAGCAAGCACAATTTATGCCGGAACGTCCCTCCAAGCCTCCACCATCAAGGCAAAGGCCCCCGAGGCCAAAACCATCGCAGCTGGCATGCGATGAGTCTGCATCCTGCCGATCACCCGTGGCTCACAGTCCACAAGCAAGGCCGCCATTGTCAGCGCACCTGACCAGCCTTCCTGGCAGGGAACCGGCAGAGAGAGAAAGGGTAAGTCCCGGTGATGTGCAGAGCCCACCCACTCCTCGACTCAGCGCCGTGCTGACTGCGGAGTTGTTCAATGGCGAGTCTGACATGGACCAGATCAGCCTGTGGTCTCGATTGGAGGAGGGTGAAGAGACCCTGTGCCAACCACTTCCACAAACTCACGTGGGAAACTGCTCTACCCGAAGTTTGAGCAGTGTCCACGAAGGAGACTCGCTTGAGATCTCCTCTTTGACAGCAGCGCTGGACAACTCGAACGTTGACCATGATAGCTTCAGTCAGTGCAGAGGTAGTTCGCCACCGCAAGAGAAGCAGCCAGCTGCTGCTGCCTCACGTACTCCTCCCTGGCCACGTGGATCACCTGGCGACGCATCGACACATATGAGCGAGCTGCGTCGGCTGCGCCAGGAAATTGAAAGCAACCACGTGGCCTCCGAGACATGCGAAACTTCATCCCAGTCGCAGGGCCCAAAAACAGAGGATTTAAAAGAGGATGCGCAACATTCGCATGAGAAGCCAGTCCAGGATTCGACCACTCAAACGGAGACAACCACAGCAAGCGCTGGCGAAGGCGAGCACCTCTCGAAAACTGCAGACTCGCCGGGGGAGGAGCTGTCTCCGGGTACAGGCGACGAGATATCTCCAGGCTCAGACAAGGGCATCCCGGAGGGCTGCGATGTTTCCGTACAGAAGTCCATGGCATATTTGGCTGCCGAGCTCAACGCATTAGCATGCAAGACTGTGCAACGATGCATGGTTCCAGACCACCCCGTTCCGCTAAGAGACATCACGAACGAGATGCAGGATCTGCCAGACATTGGGCTGAAGTCGTCTGGAACTCCTCGATCTTCTGCTGCAAAAATGGATATCGCCAACATGCGTATGCAACTAGAGGTGCAGGAGCAGCAGCGTGCCACAGCAGAGCAGCAACTGGACGAGTGTTTGTCCACATACCGTATGGAGCAAGCCAAACACACTGCCACAAAAGCTGCTCTGCGAGAAAGCCAGCGTGAAGTACTACGGCTGCAGAGCCAGGTCCAATTCAAGGAGACAGAGACACAGCGCCTCGAGATGGAGTTGCAAAGGTGCCAGTCAGAGCTCGGCTGCGTCTTTGCACAAGCAAAGCAAGCGCAAGTCCAGCTAAAAGCTCAGCAAGCGGAGCTTGCTCAGGTTAAGCTGAGACTGAGCTCCGAGAATTCCAAAAACGAGAGACTCAGCCGAACTCGACCACTTCAAAGAGCAGGTGGCCCATCAGCAGCAGAGCAGGCAGAGCAGGAGCCAAAGGTGTCAAGTGGATCGATCTCGCAGCTTACCAACGACCACGCTGATAATGCCAACGGTGCTGATGTTGCTGAGTCAACTCTTCGACGTTGCCAATCACTTGGCGGATCTTCAGGCTGACTGGAAACAAAGCTCAATCAAATCCGTAGAACCGTGACTGCCTCACACGCAACACTGTATGGCGCAGGTACCCGATTGGCATCGGAAGTTTCAGATGCACTGCGGAAGCGGCGAAGAGAGCTTCGAAGAGAACATGCGGTGTTGGAGCAGGCGATGCTAAGAAAACGTTCCTTCCGGTTTGCCACTAAATTGCCACGCCATCTGGGCAGCCTGACCCTGTCCTTCAAGACCAGCTGAGCCCCAGGAGCGCCGCCAGTGGCGCCTCGATGCGCGAAATTTGCGTCGAAGCCAAGCGGCCGATGCAGAAGCGACCAGCCTCAAATGCCAAGAGCCAGCTGCCAGGTGTGCCAATACCACATTGTAGGAGCTTCGCGGTTCTGCACGGTGTTTCCTTTGCAGCTGTGTGTATGCCGCCACCATCCGAAAGCTTGTCGCTGTGAAGCTGCGCAAGAGGTGCTTTGTCTTGGAATCTGAGGCTGAAGAGCTGGTAAGGACTGGAGCTCGGCTTTGCAAATATGCTTCAGAGACGTCGCAAAAGTTCTGGTTAATCAGTGGTATGCTTGACAGCAGCGGGTGCCGAGATGTGATGCTTGATCCGAGCCGATTGTTTGGGATTGACTAGTCCAGCTACAAGTAATGCCAACGACAGTCGAAGTGTTTCGGGGCTCAGACATGGCAAATGGGGGGGGAGGTTGGCAGAAGCGCGATTACCTACAAGAGTGACCTACCCGTGCCCATGCCGATTTGTGGATACCTAGGCGACCTGCACTCAATTGCACAGACTGCAACATGAGAAACATGCTTCGAAGTTAGAGAACGGGGCGGGAGGAGGAGGAGAATGAAACTTTCCAATGTAGGTGAAAGGTCAGCCGACGGGCCGAAGCATCAGTGTGGTGTCAACCACAGTGTTAACAGCGAAGGCGAAGGTCACATCATCGGTTCATCTCGTCTTCTCGTCTCTGTCGCAGCATTACATTGACCTTTGGACCTGCGGTGCTGTGCAGTGCACTGTGCAGAGGGCGCGAGCAGCTTTGGATACCCGTGCGTCGGCGCTCAACGAATCCATTTGCGTCTCGGCAGCTGCAGCTTATGCAGTGTGGAGCCCCGCTGGATGCAGATATCTCATTCGACCTCCTGATTCTACCAGCCTGACATAGGTGCATAGACTTAGCGTGCCAACCGAAGGACGAGCTTTTGCTGCCTACATGTTTTAGCCGCGACTCCGTCATATGCATCGTGTCTGACGAGTGCCAAGGCGAGTACCGCGCTCTGCAGCGGGCTTTGACCAGCGGCAGCCTTCATCAGGATCGTCCTTGAAGGAGTCTGTGGCACTCTTGCACATATATTGCGATGGTTCAGATCATCCGGCAAAGCTGGGTCCAGTCGATACGACACATAGAACGTATCCACGATGAGAGATTCCTCGCAGCGAGCGGGAAAGCATGCGGGCTACCGCTGGTTGGTGATGCTGTTTTTACACGGATATGCTCGGGCCAGTCGCAAAGACTGGCACTGCCTGTACAGAGTCACTGGCGCCATCCGAAGCTTTCCATGCGTCATTCGCATGCCTGCAACCAATTCAGCATATGCATTTCGTGCCTAATTCAAGTCGTCGCTGCGCATCAGCGATTCGCACACATGCAAGAGGGGGTTGAGCCGAACCTCGGTCAGAAAGGAAGGCGTGCAGGCGTGCCTGTTTGACCTGCTGGCAAAGTGCGACTTCCAAGGGTCGGCGAGGTTCCCGAGACCACGGCCATGGTGCAGGGCATGAGAAGGCCGCTCGGCCGTTCGCTTGCCTCGACAACACTTCTGCATTGATGCTGCAGGCTTCATGGTCACACAATTCCGTCGGATCCAAAGGTTGTCGAGCTGCAGAATGGCACATATATGACACCATGAAACTGCTGCAGAACAGCATGAGTCCACCATTCACTGCCTGATATTGCCGCCTTTGTGGGCCCACGTCTCAGTCCTTGTGTTTCTTTCCGCAGACAGTTGGGGAGCCGAGGCATCAAGAGGACGCAGTGACCAGACTTGTCTCCACCTGCCCCATTGAGCCGGGAAGATATACCTTGGAGCGCGGACCTCGTCGACCTCTGGATTTTTCGGGTAAAGCACTGGCCAGTATTGTGGGAAAGCCCAACAACTGTGTGCTTCAACGCACCTGAGAGATAACCCATGCGATCCTCGGCATGCTGCTGGTAGCATATCGTATCCAAATCCCGCCCCGCAGGTCTGGAAAAAGCACAGGCTACTCCTACAAGAAGTGTCGGTCTCAAGACATACTGCATTGGATATCGCAGTTGCTGACTGGTTGTTGTAATTAAAGCCCACCCCGTGAGGTTGGAAATGAAGCTGCACGTTGATGGCAAGTGTGTCTACAAAGAAGAATCAAAAAGCCGGCGCCCTTTCGAGCGTGTGTGGAGTTCCTGCACTTGTGGAAGCCGTTTTCGTCAAGCATCACTGACCTGATTGCACAGCACACTAACGGCTGACTAGTTTCAACTGTGTCTGTTAACACATCGTGCGCCGTATACTTCTGTCATGCTGCATCGCAAAGGTTTCTTGACTTGCGACTTATCTACATGAGCTTACGCAAAGACAGCCACGGCGACAACAGCAACAACAACAACAAGGTGGCGCGTGCGTCTGCCGCCGCGCGGGGTGTGTCGCTCATTTTTGGTAGTTTTGTTTGTCAAAAGCTTGAAAACCCTGAGTTTCATGTGGTTATCGTCAACAAGACGATGTTTCGGAGTTGTTTTTGCATAGTCGTTTGTCTTGTTTTTTGGTTACGTTTTCTTTCGAAATTGTCGCAAATACCATGCTTTTCGTCTTTTGTGTTTGATGATCTTGGGGGTTCGTTGTGAAGTTTTCGTCTGGAAAGACTGAAAAACTCAAGGTTGTTACATAGTTGACGTGTCAACAGTGAAGCAAGAAGAAGCGGCAGCAAGTGCTTCACAGAACTTCACAGAGCAAGCGGCAGCGTTTAAGAAGTAAAGCCACAAAAGAAACAGAAGACACAAACCGCAGTCGCATGGATGTCATCACCCCCCCCCCTCCTCCATCCCCCCCCACCCCACACAGAGCTGAAAGACAAGTGCAAGTCTAAGCTGGCATGTGCAAAAAGTCGAGGGTCAGCAAAGACACCGCAAACACCGATGCGAAATGCGACTTCGCATGTTTTTTTGTACAGGGTAGCTCACCGGCTGTCGCATTTTTCTGCTAGAAAACACCGCAAAAAAAACAATGCGAAAACAAAATGCAAGTTCAATTCCAGGTGAGCAAAGTGCCAAAACTCGAGTTCCAGCACATGCCAGCAAAGAAATCGCACCACCCAGCGCGGCGGCAGACGCACGCGCTGCCAACAACAACAACAACAACAACAGACAATGGACGGCAAACAGCCAACAACCACAACGACAACAGCAACAACAAACGACAACAACCAGCAACAACAACAACACCAGCAGCAACAGCAGCAACAGCGACAACGACAACGACTACCACAACAACAGCAACAGCAACAGCAACAGCAACAACAACAACAACAACAGCAACCAACAACAACCAACAACTACCAGCAACAACCAACATCAAACAACACTAAGACCAAGACCAACAAGAGCAGCATAAACAACAACAGCAATAACAATTATTATTGGACGCTGAGCGAGCGGGCTCTGCTCATTGCGGGCGTGTGAGACTGCCTTTGCACCTGAACAAAGGTCTGAGAGCAGAAATGCTAAGGGCCTGGGCCTGAAAGCGCTGAAACAGGCTACCGTGAAGAGAGCTACCCTACAAGCTACCTCAAAAGCCGGTTCATGCGTCTCAGGCGTGGGTGAGAAACCCTCCGTCACCCTCAGTGTGGACTATGGCGTCCCATGTCCACGGACCGATGATTGATGAGCCGTACCCCCTCGGGACCGTCACTCAGAGTGCCTGTTGCGTGGCGTCCCACTCATGGTCACTCTCAATCAAAGGCGATGGGCCGTAAGGTCGCAAAGGTGATGAGCATGTGGAACGGCTGCTAGTGCTGTTATCTGAGGCCGCTCCGCTTTTGTGGGCAAGCAGATTGCATCGGTGAACGATGTGGCACACCCTGGCGGTAAGCACACTGTGCCTAATAAGGCTAACCTTATTCGTAAGAGGCGTACTCCCCTCCAGAGGCCAGGCTTGCCGGCAATGGCTTGGGGGCCTCGGACAACCCCCCATTCTCGAGCCGAGAATGGGGGGTTGCAAAACCTTGATTTTTAGGCCTCGGACAAACCCCCCTTCTCGAGCCGAGAATGGGGGTTTGTAAAGCCGATTTCAGCCATTGGTCAGCTGTGTTGCTGACAGGCGTTGCCTTTCTGGGAAAGCAGCGAGCGTTGCCCGACTAGCATGACAGGTATAGGCCGCTATTGCACACAAACGCTGAGTAGTGGAGCTACGTCAGCTGTACGACTTGAGCAGCAAAACTGAACAACAGCGTTCCTGCTCCCTGCCGTGTAGGCAGGTCGGTCCCACAGAGCCAGTAGGTCGCCCCCTTCCTGCAAGGGGAAGTAGGGGCCCCTGGCCTCAGGGGAACCCTCAGCTTAATCATCTGAAACTTGGACTGGCATAGGGCCAGCCTCCGCCGCCTCCGCTGTGTGCGGTATTGAACCAAGTCGCACGAACAGCACATAGCAGCCAGGTATAGGCCGCTATTGCACACAAACGCTGAGTAGTGGAGCTACGTCAGCTGTACGACTTGAGCAGCAAAACTGAACAACAGCGTTCCTGCTCCCTGCCGTGTAGGCAGGTCGGTCCCACAGAGCCAGTAGGTCGCCCCCTTCCTGCAAGGGGAAGTAGGGGCCCCTGGCCTCAGGGGAACCCTCAGCTTAATCATCTGAAACTTGGACTGGCATAGGGCCAGCCTCCGCTGTGTGCGGTATTGAACCAAGTCGCACGAACAGCACATAGCAGCCGTGGCGTGCCTGCCTGAGATCTGAATCTGAGGCCTGAACCGACGGACGACCATCGTCCGTGCTGAGCCAAGGTTGATCGGGGTTGCTCCTCCAGAGGGAGCGATAATGTCCACTGTGCGGGGTGTCACCTATGTGGAAGATACAGGACTGAACCCATCCTTTCTCTAGTTGTACGGAGCCCGTCGGGGCCCACTGCGAGAGCTGAAGGGGGTGGTGCAGACCAGTGACAGCATAGCTGAGCTTGCGGCCTTCAACAAATCGCGCCACTGTGAGAACCACCAGTCGTTGCTGCCCTCGAAAGGCGGTGTGCACCGGCTGGCCAGGCCACCGAGAGAGCAGCTCCTGAAGCGCATGGGATCCACCTGTCGTTGGAGCTGGCAGCAAAGCGAGCGGACCTCCCGCATCGGTGACCTCAGTAGTGTTTACATCCCTGACTTCCCAGGGTCTTGCAATCGGAAAGGCGGTGATGCCTGCAAATAAGGCCACTAGAAACTCCGAAGCATCTTGTTGTTGGCCATCATAGCGCCAAGTGGGAGTAAGATGGCGAAGCGTGAAAGAGGCAGTCAGGGTGAAAGGAGAACCAGAGACAGAATCAGCCACTTCCTGATGGAGGGAGGTGCTTGCCCCTCCGTGCTCCAGCAAGATGCACGTCGGCACCAGGGCCGAAAGCGTTGAGTTAACATAGCAGTAGTTGGAGATGTTGCGCAGCGAGCGAGGAGCAGCGAGCGCGCCGTCCTTTGATTCTACTGTTCCTGACTTCGGTGGCAGGGGGCCTGCAGGCGTTGCCTGGCGAGTCTGGGGCGTTGCTCCAACAGCGGTGGTATCGTCCCGTGTGGGTGCGTTGCCTTGTGTCGTGCCAACCGCTGGCATGTACCTGCGTAACGGTCCGCCCTGGCAGCGGGAAAGTGCATGAACCAAGTCATAAAACAGAATCTGAAAAAGGATCGGACATTGTGCCGGATGCTGCCTCTTATCCGTAACAGGCTTGCGGCAGCACGGGCAAGGCATGCCCTTGACAAGGGTCAGGCCTGATGTGCTGCTCTGAGTTGCAGCTGTAGCGCCATGAGCCGCCCATGCAGGTTTGTGGGCCTGCCGGATGTGAGACTTGAGCTTGGTATTGTCCGGGGTCCAGAACCCACACAGCAAGCAATGTGACATAAGGTCCTGAGACTCATCAGATCGTCCGAGCTCCACAGCCGTGTGTGTTGTCAGAGTGTCATGCAAGCGCTGCTGCCTGGGATGCAATCTGGGCTGATGCTGCGAATCCAAGGGAGGGTGCGCCGCGTCATCCAGCTCCTGTAGCCTAGCTGGCTCCGAGCAGGCACCTGATAGCAAGTGGTCCTTTAAGCCCTTCATCTGAGGGAATTGCCTGTTGCAGGCCGCACACTTGGGGAGCCCTCCTACAGAGAGGGTGTGGGAGAAGCCTCGAGGGACATATCTGATGACCGAGCCTGGATGCTTGCGGGCCTGGTGGGTGCGAAGACCGACCTCAGTGTCGAAGGCCTGAGCACACGTCGGGCACACGAAGGACGGGGGGGCCTCCTGCTGTGATGTGTCCTTAGAAAGTTGCTGCAGAACGTCTGCATAACTAGTAGAGAGTGCCTCCGCCTGGAGAAGCGCGCGCTGGGTTAAAGAGATGTCCCCCGCAGGAGTTTTCCGCCGTCGAGCACCTAAGCGCTTGACACGATTGGCCTGTCGCGCCTGCAGCTTACGGACAGGGTCCATGATCTCATGGGAGGCATAGAGGTCAGCCGTGGATATGTGTGTCAGGTGCGCTGGCTTGTTCAGGACAGCTCGAATTTTGCGAGCGTGCCAAGCCCGCAACAGTTTAGCTGTCTCTAGGGTCAAGCCCACATCCACCAATCCAGAGGCTACTGTGGCCCAGACAGTGCTATGCCAAATGTGCAACCGCGATGCAGGCCCCGCCGTTCGTCTGTTGTGAACGAAGCGGCGTACCTGCTGCAATTTCACATTGCCCTCCTGCAACCGGAACTTGAGAGTAGCCTCTCGAAGTTGGAGTAGGAGAGCATGACGCCGAGATACTTAAAGGACGTCACCAGCGGAAAGCCCTCGTGAGACTTAGACTCTCCCAGTCTCCACATCTTATGGCGGGTTCCGTCAGGCGCGGTGCGCCAATAAGTGTGCTTGGAGATGGCGCGTTGCGCCTGTTGGCCCTCGAGTTTGACCATAACAGTGCATTTTGCACCGTTGACAGCAAATCCATGGCGACGGACCAACTGCAACAATTGCTCAATCAGAGCATGAGCGCGATCCAGGTCCTCCATTGAGTGGATGTCACGGTGAACCGTAAGGTCATCTGCGTAGCCCGTGAGGTAGTCCACCACGGCTCGAACCCCAACAAGAGCTATGAGCTCCCGGAAGATGGTGCCCGTAAGCATGGAAAAAAGTGTGGGGGCAAGCTTACACCCCTGTTTAATGCCCGCAGTGGACTGGACCGTGTCCTCTTCACCCTGGGTGCGAAACGTGTAAGCACTGCCAGCATGCAATGAGGCAACTAGGTCAATGAGGTCTTGCGGGACTCCCGCTTCCTGCAGTGTGCTAAGCAAGTCTGTTCTGCTCACCATGTCAAAGGCTTGTGACAAGTCTAGTGCAAAGCAGATGCCACCTACTAGCTGGGGACGAGTTCGTCCCGAGTGAAGCTGATGCCTGGTTCGTCGGGCCTCCTGGCAGTTATTGCGTACCTGAGTGACATGACCAACGACCCTGCTCAAGGCATCTGAAAGACCGCGATGTGGCTGGTAAGCAAATTGTGGGAGACCCCGAAGATAGTCAGCCGTGTAGGGAGACAGCTGATCTCTGCAAGCCCCCGCCAGGCCCTTGCCGTCTGGTCGAATGATGCCGAGGGGACGTAGATTGCCAGGCTTCGTGGCCGGCTTGTTAGGCTTTGGGATAAAACACAAGTCAGCATCCTTTAATAGGGCGGCTGGAGTACCTCAGCAGCCGGCAATGGGCGTTGCCCGCGAGATTGCAGCGATGCTGCTAGCGCCTCTCCCGCAGCCGCCGAGCAGAGCCGCCAGGCAGCCGCCGGAGCAGAGCCTTGCGGTACCGCCTTGTGCGGTCTGATGGAGCCTATGTGCTTGGCCAGCAGACCAGCCGGGATTTCCGGCAGCGAGTCCACCTGGTGTGCGAGTGGCGGATGTCTGGCAAAGACCTGTTCCACGTGGTCTCTAAGCAGGCGGAGCTCGGAGGTAGAGTCCAACAGCAGACCATCCGGTCCCTGAAGCTGTGCCTTAGTTTGGGGTCCCCAAGGTCGGAGCTTCTTTAAGGTCTTATGTGCGATGTAGGAATCGTGTCTGGCACACGCCTCATCGACCTCAGCCTGGAAAGCTCGGTGTCGTTCCTTCTTGGCTAAGTAGAGAGCCTGCTTATGCCATCGATTCAGGTCCTCCAAAGACTGATCTAGGTCGGATAAGGTGGTTATGGAGTCCTCATGCAAAGAACGAATATGAGCGACTCGACTCCACATTCGCAGCGTCGCACGGTGCTGAGCAGTTTCAGGAGCTTGCTGAGGCCGTGGTTTGGGGAAAAACAGTGCAGAGGCCTCCAGCAGTACCTGATTAACTTCATCAGGCGTGTGAGTCCGAGAGGACAGACGCTGGCCCACCCAGTCTTGCATGCGACCGGCTATTGGCAGACCTGAACGGACAGCCGTCTCTAGAGCTTCCTTATGAAAGGTCGTGGAAGGACAAGTAGGCTTTGGCAGATTCCAGTGCTGGGTGGGTCTGAGTTGAGCCAAGACTGGAAGGTGGCCGCCCCTCTTCCATTTGCCGAGCTGAAGATCCTTGCACGGCCGAGACTGCTTTGCCAGGCCCTTGGCCGAGGCTTCTGAAGTGAGCAGGAAGTCAATTTGTGATCCCTGACCATTCAGGAAGAAAGTGTGACCTGCACCACTAGACCATGTGTTAAGAGCTACCAACCGATGGGAGGAGACTAAGGCTTGGAACGATTCATCCTGCATCTGAGTTTGCTCTGGCTTGGTGCTACACTGACCTACCAGACCCTCCTGCGGGGTCAGTCGAGCATTAAAGTCTCCTGCCAAGAGAAAAGTATCTCGCGCTGGAATGGCCCGTATCGCAGCCGACAGATCGCGGAGCAGGTGTGAGCGGTCATCCTTGTTCTGCTGTGGAGTCTTCTTAGAAGACCAGGCATGTTGGTAAACCGCTAGTACATGCACACGAGCCCCAAGCCACGGGAAGATGACCTGAATGAGCCTTCCCCGGCGTTGCTCGCGCCATCTTATCTTCTTCTTGTCTATCTGCGGAGAGAGAAGAACCATGACGCCGTCCGCTCGGCTTGTGTCGTGAACAGCCGGCTGCGTGGCAGCGCCTTGCTTGGGGCGTTGCCCTGAAGTGGCTTTACCTTTAGGTGCTCGAGCAGCCCCTTTTGTGGCGGAGCTTACGCAGTGCCAGCCTTCGACATCAAATTCTGCTGTCTCACTCCAGTGGGTTTCCTGAAGGACAAGAATGTCACAGACTGACTTGGCCTCCGTGCGAAGCCATGTCTTCACTTCTGCCCATTGTTGCATGCCAAGGTGCCCTGCATTCCAGGAAAGAACACGAAGAGACTTGCTGGCACGACCGCCTCTCGGGCGCGAGCGGAAACTGGCGGAGAAACCTGAGGGACCTGAAGGAGAAATCGTGGAGCTAGGCTGCACTGGGAGGGGGGGAGGGGAGGGGGGGTGAGTCCACTGCGACGCAGATGTTCAGGCGTCAACGTACCATTCCGGTACGGGATGCTTTCTTGTGTTCTATGAACCTTATTGCAAGCCTTGCGAAAGGCCTTCTTGCGAATGCTCTCAAATGAATGCTGGTGCATTGGCGATTGCGCCGTCCGCTAGTTTCGCCGGAAAGAGAGAACTCGAACCGACTCCTTTCACCCTGCGGAAAAGGTGAAAACCACTACCGCTTACCTCATGCCAAGGTTGTATAACTGCAGACAGAGGCCCGGGAATTGGGACCCGGTAGATCACAGCGACACGCGGCTCCGGGAACAGCTATGGCTCAGTAAGAGGACGGTCCCTTAAGCTTCGCAGAAGGGGCACGTTGCGAGCCTCTAGCGTTGGTACCCAGAGCCTTGTTAGCAAAGCTACACAGCCTGCTGTGATCCATAGCGGCTACAGCAATAACAACAACAACAACAACAACAACAACGACAACGGCAACGGCAACGGCAAACAACAATCACAACCACAACAATCACCACCACCACCACCACAACCACCACCGCCACCACCGCCACCACCGCAACACAACCACAACCACCCCAGACCGCACGAAAGCACGGCCACAAGATCAGGAGCATCGATAAACGAGAATGAAGCTACAGGGTTTGAGTAGGATGGGGCGCTTATGAAGACAGCAGCCCTAGCCCTGTGACTTGGTTGACTGTCACAGGAGAAAGTCGAAGCAAGCTGTCTCTTTGGAAACCGTCTTTGATGCGAAGTGCGTGAGTAGAGCTGCACTTGCAGGCAGCTTGCTCCGGGCAGTGTGGTGGCCTCGGTACATGTCGATACCATGTGGGCATCAACGAATCCGAAACTTCAAATCCTTTCAGTTTAAGGGTTACCCTAACCCGTAAACACTCGGAATCTTCATTGCTGTGGTTTGCGGTTGTACTGGACATCGGGCCATGCGCGAATCAGTGGCTGAAGGTATGGGTTAGAGTCACAGGTCTTGAAGCATCGCGGGGTTTAGGGGCGTGATGTGCTTGGGGATTCTCGCCGGGCGAGAACTAATCAAGCCTGTGGAAAAGGGGTGTGATGTTGAGCTGAAGAGCTGGAGGATATGGGACAGTTCAGAACTTCAGGCAGATATTGGAGCGCACACTTTCGGAGGCGGACTCGCGACTCTTTTGCTTCTGCTGGACAAGGGCTGCTCGTGGGAAGAGCTCTTCTCCATCCCCAGTCCATCCCTATGCTGCCCTCCTGAGTGTTGTCCTCGAGTTGGCAAAACCCTTTCGACTTGAGTTTCTGATAAACGCTTCGTCGCGTCGAGCATCCACATGACCTCAACCCTACCGGCTTCGTCTGTTGAATAAGTGTCGCAACTGCTGGACCCGTGAATCCCTCGAATCAGAGTCCTGAAAATGGTCGAGACATGCCCCGACTTCAACGGCATTGACACCATTGAAGTAAAGCTTAAGCTCGCTGTGCTGCATTGCATGTCATACTGCATAGACAGAAACCAAGAAGACAAAATTTGACATTCATTCATTCATCCACCCATCAATGCATGTGCACTACATTGCCTGTTCAAGTCGAGCTATCGTTGTCTAGGGACATGGGACACAAAAGTTGCAAGAGTGCGCTGTCTATCCTTTAGACTTGTCTAGCCGTAGTGATTGTTTTGCCATCCACTCAGGCGTATTGCGTGCTTCTTCTGTCAAGCATGCTTCATTTGGGATCTGGCAAAGGTTCAGCTGGAAAGGTGGCCAATCGGTAATCCGGTCGTGTTGCAGGACGTCCTTAAGAGAGAATTAGATAGAAGTCTGAAGAATGAGGACGGCGGAGGAGAGCGGGAGAGCGAGAGGGGGGGAAGAACGGGGAGTTGCACAGGCCGAACGCCACGGTTTGGAAAGTAGAGTCCGACCTGCTCGTGCTGGACTCTCTCAAACCGGCAACGTACGAAGCTGAGCTCACAAGGCAGATCGAAACTTATTAAGGATTATCGCAATTCCTGGATGCTGCAAGGCCTGGCTTTGTTCTGCGTGAGTCTCGCGGCAACAAGAGCTTGGAGAGGCCTGGGCAAGTGCTGTATTGTTGCAAAGCGGCCCCTGCCATCCTCGCCCTCTGCCGGCTGTACTTGGCGAGTTTATTTCCCCCTTTTCAGTACACGAGTTTGCTGGAGGCAGCGAGAGAGCACGCGCAGGCAGACAGCCCTCGTGCCTGCAGGAAGGTGTACCGCGTGGAGATGCCTGTCTCCTTTGTTCGCGAAAGCACCGTGCCTAGCGGTGCCAGCAAGTCTCGGGTCAACCATTGGGTCGTGTGTCTAGAGAGCTGTGAACCACATGCTGTCGGCGCTGGCTGGGACTCTTACCTTTTTCCTCACGCAAACATGTCGACTGTTTGACTTGTTCTGCTCCCTGAGGCTGCAAGTTCACAGCCTTCGAGCAGCAGAAAAGGCCAAAGATGTTCGGAGATTCAGGAGCTTGCCAGACAGCATTTTCTTGCAGGCCCTTCCTCGGACATCAGCAGCACGACACCTCCACCCTCATCTTCGGCGTTGTGAATCCAGAGTCGTGCGATCCTATGCGAAGCATCGTTTCACAGACGGAGCAAATGCAGACCAGTTGACAGTAATAGCTTCATGCAGCAATCGGTGACAGCTGTCCTGTTTCATTTGGGCTGCCAAGTCCGGCTTTGCGGGGCCTTCGCTGCCGACCTGATCGATTGTCGAGGGCTCATGTTGCAGTTACTTTCCACCTGGATTTGGCCCCATGGATTCCTTTTGCTTAGCTCCTTGATTGTGGGGAGTTCAATTGCTTCAGCTGCAACATGCATTGGCTGATGCAGGAATGGGTGTCAGTGTGTGGATAGAAGCAAAACACTGCATAGGTTGGCTGGTTGACTCAGGCCTTATCACGCTTTCGAGCGAGAGCTACGGTCGCAAGGCCAGGCCAATTCAAAATCTGCTGGCCATGACTTTGCCCTGCTCGCGAGCCTAGACCAAAAACCAGGGCGGATGTATTATTGATGTCATGACCATTGATGCCACCTTCCTTTGACAGCGTTTTACTTGGCTGACTACTGACTACTGCGTTTCCCAACCTTTCAGTCCTTTACACAGTTCGCAATTCTTGCCTGAGCCGATCCAAGTGCAGTTTCTGCGGGGACCAAACACGGATTTTGATCGTCTCGCGTGTTGTTTGTCCGGCTCTGTCCTGGCCACGGGGTGATGCCGTTATTCACGAGGCCAAACACGGCTTTGACGAGAGGTGGTCCTGTCCTCGACCGACACAGCCCGGGCCAGTGGAGAAGTCCCCAGAAGTTGGTCGGGTAAAGACAGGCGTGACGAACCACAGACACACCATAAGAAACAGAGTGTAAGACGCAGACAGATAGAGAGAGAGAGAGAGAGAGTCAGAGTAGCCATTTCATCGTCTTCACCGTCTTGGCGAAGAACGCAGTCTCAAACGGGGGCAGCGGGGTGAAGGACCCGGACTGTGACTGCGGGTCCCGGATCCCCCTGCCTTCGAAGTCACTAGTGACTCGTGCCTCCAACCCCCAGAGCCATACCCTCGTGGTGGAAACGATCGCCACAGTGTTCGTGATCCTGCGTCCCTGAACGGGAAGAAGGGACTGGAAGAACCTGTACGTCCTTCTTGGCTACTCCGGTGACTCGCTCCTTTCAGTGCTCCCCGGCCTTGCACAGACCGTTGCAACGGACTCCGCAAAGTTGCACCTGTTGGGAGAGGGAGTATCCCGAGTACATGATCGTGATAGTGGCACGCCGGGCGAGATCGCAATCCACGGGCCACGGCGGATAGAGAGGGAGAAGGCATGCGGTATCAGGCATGCGGTATTGTGCACAGCGGAAAGCCTGTAGGCATGCGAAACAGGAAGGAACACGCAGGGCAGAAGGATGTCGAAGAGTTTGGGGGGCCCAGGTGAGACGGGGAACCAGTGCATCTCCAAGGAGCAGCCTCTGCCGAAAAGCCGGCGCGCGTGTGATGGTTGTATAAAGTTGCACACTTTGCACCTTACTTCAGGTCCCGCAGTTTGTTTTTCGGTGTACGCTTGTTATCTGTAACTTTGCTGTGAAGGCTCGCTCTCTGAAGGACGTTGCATGCAATCGCTGAACAATGCACAAACCTGTGCTCTCTGGTCACAACACGAAGTTGCTGCGAGGTGTGAACTCTTTAATGGGTCAAGGCAAATCCTTGGTCTTTCTCAGGTAAACTCACTCCGAATGGCCCATATTGGCCGCTCAATCCTAGTTTCTTTTCAGCGCACCATGTACAAGACGAGTCTAGCATGAATTCGGGGGACTCGGGAGGCCGCTTAATTCATGTCTGATCCAACTGAAAGCAATCCGAGAACACTCACTCGAAGCAGTGGGGGAGCATGTTTTTCTTCCCGATCTCCGAGAGGGGTACCTACTTGCATGTGTATGCAGTCTCAGTGTGATGTTGTGAGAATTTTCTGTTCAGACATGCGGGGGACCTCTCGTTTTACTCGTTGTTCGTACAGCCAAGCCCTCCTGGAAAATGACTCCAGGGGGGAGCCTGTCCCGCTAAGAGACGCGGGTGTGCGGACCGCACGGGGTAGGGGCCTGAACGCTGCCCCTGCCAGAGAGAGAGAGAGAGAGAGAGAGTAAGAGTAAGAGTACCGCTCAAGTGCTGCACCGTTGCTTGAGGCCTGTGCCGCCCTCTTGCATCGGGGGGGAGACGAGAGGTTGACCTGGAACTGTTCACTCCAGGGGGGCCTTGTCGTTTTCCCCCGCAATGCTTTGCTTTGGCCCGCCCGCTATCGCCCGCTCTTGCCAGTTCCTCCGAAACCTGACCGTGGCCCCTCCTTTGGAGGGTGGCCCGCCCAGTAGGGGGGACCGAGCATACTAGCTGCTTGTGGACCTGAGGGGGAACTTGAAGGCCTGCCAGTACCACGACTTCTTCAGTGGCAAGCTCTTCAGAAACCTTGAGTCGGGGCGAGCGGCGAGAAGGGAGAAAACACAGCCCCAGGCTCCCTACAACTCAGCCCGTCAAAGTGAACGCTTTTTGGGAAGAGCAGCGTCATGCCAAGACGAACAAGAAGCAGAAAGACAAGCAGGACACCACGAAGCACAAGCAACCGAGGGAACACGGAAGCCCGCCAGCGAAAAGGCGGAGCCAGTGAACCACACAGGGACAGCGCACCAAGCCACGACTCAGCGACCGCAGAGGGGAAACCCAGGAAGTCAAAACCGAGCCAGGTCCAAGTGAAGCCGGCCTGCACAACATGGCAGAGGACGTGGATTGGGGAGACAGCGACAGTCCAGACTGGCTTGATGTCGCCCAGCTCCCGGGAAAGACCACCACGGCGCTTGCCACTGCAAGCTCGGGAGCTCAACGGCCGAGGACGCCGAGTCGTAGCCCAATAAGGGTGAAGTTGAGGTCAAGCCTTGGATGGAGGGTTGTGCAACGTGTCCAAGAGCATCAGCGGACGAGCCGAGGCGACAGAGGAGCCGACAGGAACCGCGAAGTGAGGGGCGCGGGAAAACGTTTCGAGGGGAGCGCGATGCAGTAGAACAGTGTAAAACTAGGTCCAGTCCAGATGTTTTTTAGTTGTTTCTACAGGTCCTACATCTATTATGACGGGCCGCGGAGCCAGATATCGCTACAAACCACCGAGGGAGCCACACGCCCCCCTTTTAGTTGCAGTCTTGCCAAACGCTCGGCTTTCCGAATAGGGATCCTGCCACCCCAGCGCAAAGCGGGGCAAGGAGACCAGCACAAGTACCAGATCAGGAACGCACTCAGGGCGCGGGGATACACGTGCGCCAGCACATGCCGTGGCGACAAGCAGAGCTCCTCCTCAGCAAACCCTCCCCATCGACAGCATCCTACAGTCAACAGGAATTGACAGCCATCCTCAACGCTCACATGTATATCCAGACTGCCACCGGCATCCAACCAAAGCAGAGGGACAAAGCGGTCACGTCAGCAGCGGCCGACCATGAGGCCAGACAGGCGCGAACCATCGCGGACCCACACACGGACCGCAGTGCGTACAGCAGCCAGCACACCAACAGGCTGATGCAAGTGCGAACGGAAACCCCTTCCAGCCAGCCACGGCATCCACAACACCAGCAAGCACGTCAGGGGGAAACATGCCCCCCATGCGGAGGCAAGCCAAGGAACCAAGGCCGCGAGGGCACGAAACCCGCACAGACAGGCAGCAACAAACCTCCCAAGCAAGCAGTAGCAGTAGACGAAGGCCCAGCCGACTCCGGGAGGTCCCCCAGTGGTTTCAGGCCCCGTATGCCCTGAAAAATCAGGCCCTGCACCGAAAAAACAAGCGGTCGCACAAATACCAACCCCCTACCGCTGGGGTCATGCTGAATGGGGGCCGAGACATCGAGCACCTCGACTCGCGGGCATTGCAATCCACGATTGGGGGGGGGCAGGCTCGACCTGTCACACCTGAGCCTCCACGAACCGGCTACCGCGGTGTTCAGAAGGGGAGAGGCGAATTGAGGCCCCCTGTAACGTTGACCGATCAAGACTTGTGACGAGAGGCCTGCCAGCATTGGGGAGATAGCTTCAACTTCTTGAAGGCCTCATTGCTTGCACATGAGATCCGTCTCCAGCTGTCCAGCTGACAACACGATTGACAAAGTTTTCGGGCATTCATCCCCGGATTCTGATTGAATGCCGCCTGCACTTCCCGCATGAATTAGCTTCAATTGCGAACAGTGCTTGGCATTGCACACCGTTGAAGATAGTGAGCGCGGCTAGATTTTCTCCGGTCCAGCGAGGTCCGTCTGCTAGTAGTAGTTGCTGCAGTGCCGTCGTGTTGGCCCTCTCTTCCTAGCACGACTTGGCTCACACTGTGGGTGGACGACATCCTGCGTTTTTTGGCATTGCTTTTGGGAAGAAAGGCTTTCAACATCGAACGAGAATTGGCTCAACGACCGCATTCCTGCATTTTGATCATTTTGTCGGGTAAGCAATGCGTCAATACATTGGAAAAAGGGGTGGGCGTCCGGCCAACAGTCTGTCTACACAGGACAGTGGCATTCGGGATACTCGCATGTGAAACAAGGATTATGTTAGTTTGACCCTGACTTTCCGGTTCCTTGTGCATCTTGTGCCTATCTTTCTTGCTCCATATGGTTTTGCGTGCTTTTCTGACTCTCTATACTTCTGGCATCAGGTGGGCAGGCAGTGCGCATTTGTTGCCAGATAGCATGTTGCAGGACTCCCCGTGGACGAGATTCTGACTGATTTTCATTTTGTGGACCGGGATGCAGACGGTTTGGTGTCGGCCTTTGACTCAGAAGAAGCAGTGTCTTGCCAGGTGCCTTAATCTGAGTCTCCGGATCCATGGCCATACGGCTGCGAAGCATGCTTTTTGTCGTCGGAACACGTTTCAATCAGTCTGTCGGTAGATAGGCGATATCGGACGGTGTCCAAGATTCAATTTTAATTGTGGTGGACTCGTAGTTGTTCGTCTGGGCATGTCGGATCGGTTTTCTAGTCATGGGCCGTGGCATGGCCCGGCGGCCTAAACAGTGGATCGTTGCACATCTAGGAGGAGTTAGGGATTCGGGTGGCCCTGGACTGTTTTCACAATGAAGTGGGCAGAGGGGGAGATAACACGGGAATTTCATCTTCCTGTTTGTGCATGCATCTGCTGTTTGCGCGTAGTTGCACGTGTGGTCTCTTACGACAATCGTACGACACTTACCTGTTCTGGGCGAGGTCGAAGACATGCGCCGTTTGGAGACCTACGGCAGCCATGGCCTTGGGATGGAGTTGGATGTGCACATCAGCACGAGGGCATGAGATCCGAATGCGTGACGCAGACCCAGCCGCAGCTCCGGAAGTCCTGGAGGAGCTGCGTGAGGCCCGCGGCCACTGCGGCCTGTCGGAGGGAGTCAGCAGGTCCTCCTCACACGCAGGCACTCGTGAAGAACTTCACAACCTTGGCTAATGCTTTCGAAGCACCTTGGCTAAAAGTATTGTTGTGCAAGAAGACGAAGAGTGAACGAAATAATGCCAATTTGGCCTGAGTCCTCTGACGAGGAACTCAGGTCCATACGTCCCGCCGCTTCAAGCTTCACAGCATGTTGATCCAAACGAGGTGCTGAGTGCCATGGCTGGTGCTGGACGTGTCCGGATCTCAGCAGAGATCCTCGAAGCATTGCAGCACATCAGGCGCTTTGACATGTGGGTCTTGGATGGGTAACAGTTGGTCTTTCTGGCCAAAGTGAAACACATGTGCCGCAGAAATTATGGCTGCCAGCTCACCTTCGTCATGCGTTGTAGTAAGTCTTGTGCCTCAGGTTACGACAGCAGAGTTTCAGCGCTTCTTCGAGAAGATTGCGGAGGCGTGTGCAGAAAACGGGACGGGCACTCCGGACACGCGGATGGCGAACGTAAAGAGCCTGTAGACTCGGTGAGGGCTTCCAGAGAGGCATTTAGTTTAGTTGCCTGGCCTCGGGCCGGACTTAGTCAACAGTGGAAATGCTGTGCTGGGCTTGCCTGATCTCTCCTCCTAGTGCCCGGTGCTAATATCTGAATGGTCGATCGTAGTAGCAGCGAGCTGGTCTCGGGACGCGTCTTAGTCAGCCATGAGTCCGAAGCATTGCTGCGTACACCAGGAAGACGGTTGATTTTTTCGATTGCTCATCTCAAGTTGTGTTCAAAGAACCGTACTACGTCATGTCCCAGAAGCTGATGGTCTGATGGTTGGGACCATTGACGAGAAAAGCATTGGCACATTGCCGATCCGGAAGATGTTACGAGTACGTTGCCTGCCTGATCGGCCAAGGCAAGCAACCAGGGAGAAGTGCCCGAGCCTTGGCGTCGCGAGCGCACTTCAGTCCTGATTTGAGGTTTGGAGTCGCCCCTTTTGCTCACAGGGGCATTGTTGAATTGAAACATGCTGAGAGGCTCCCAATTCAGGACCGCAGGGCAAATTCAGCCAAAAAGTTGTTAGTTGCTCCTGCCCTGCAGCATCTGTAGCTTGCAGCTCTTGCAGATGCTCTTGCCGCCACCAAGGCCTCGATTTGCTGGCCGACCGTTACTTGCGCAAGGCTGCCATATACTCCAGCTTGATGCTGATGTTTTTCCCCCCAGTGTGGTCTCTGTATGTTGTTTCAGCAACTGACCAACGCTGTCATGTCTCGTTTTCTCCTAGCAGACGCAGCCCGTTTCGCTTTTCGGTTTTGAATTGTCTGTGTCTTGTGAGCGCCGATTTAGGTGAATCTGAATGTTTCTTTGTTGCGTACAAGGGAACTGCAGCCCATGGCCTCTTGGTTACTCCTGAAATCTTCTGAAGGTGATCTTGACATTCCTCTTCAGGTTTGTCAACCGTTGTCATCGTTGCGTCTCACTTCCGGAATTTCCCCAGCTCCTGATTTACAAAATACCGGCAAGACTCTGGCTTGCTGCAGTGCAACTTGGACTCTTGATCCTTAGCCTCAACGGCCGCCAGCACGATCAACAGAAAAATCAGAAACCATCCCGCGAATCAGGAGCTGCACATAAGAAACCCAGCGCTCATTGGAAACTGTGCCGGGGAAACCGATGATACCGTCCAGGCCAGTGCGACCAAAACCAGAAGCATCCGTGCCCGCACCACGATGACGTCCATGCACGAGCGATGATATGGTCGATGCCACCAGTGCATCCATGACCAAGAGCATTCATGCTCGAACGATGACGAGAAAAATTGGCCGGGGCCATAGTCGACGAAGGCTGGGCGGTCGTAGGACAGACTCATGCAGAAACAAATCGTGCGGAACAAGAAGAGCTTCGTGATCACCTACATCCGGGACAGCGGGAGTTACAACAGGCCGTGGACGAGAGGAAAGTCTCCTCATCGACATCCCCTCAAAAACTCGCGAAGCCGTCGCAGTGAAGTGCCACCACAGCTCCGTGAAACAACTCCAACACATTGTGACGTGAAGTCGTGAAGTTATGATTTCCTCCGACCTGCATTCGCTGGGGCAGGTGAGCGGAGCCAATCTTTGAAGGAGCCGCTCCTATTGCCTGTAGCATGGCCCTTGCTCGTTTTTTGTTTCGGTTAGGAAGTAGGACGCTACGTAGGTCACCGAGGACGTTCGGTAACGTTGTTGGCGGCCGAGCGGGCTGACATTTCACATTTTCAATCCTCGCTTCATAGCAAGAGGCATGCGGGATGGTGTTGAGAGGTCTTGTGAACCGCCACGACATGGCTGTGGCATTCGATAATTCTTGACTACGGGGCTTTTTCGGAATTCACGCATTTCGGCCAAAAGCGAGGCTCGCAGTGCGAAGAAACGGTCGTTTATGCGTCCTGCTAAGGTTCGAGCAGGCTGAAATGGGTTGTATTGTCCTCCACTTTAGGGCTCTAAATTCCAGACCCATGTAATGTTACCAAAACCGGGCGTGTACTTAAGCAAAATATCCTTTCCAAAACGGGGGGCCCCATGCAAGGCAACAGTCGTGAGGTCAGTTCTGCTTCCACGACGGGTAGTATTGTAGCTGAAGCTTTAGCTTGTTGGAAGGTGCCCCTCCGGCATGATGCGACTCATGCGAGTCGTTGGAGCATTTATACCAGCAGCAGGTTTCACTCAACCAGGTGGCCACGCACCTGTCCAATCCGTAGAATTATTCGCTTCCCAACAAGGCGCATGGATCACTACGACACGGCACAGTAGCACGTTGCGCCGTGTAATGTGCAGATTCCTCTCTGAACCAACCGTGGGTCCAGTACAGCCAGCATGGAGATCAGCAGTTTGTCGAGGGTCACCTGTAGAATCAAGTTCACGAGTTGTATCGACACTTTTGCTTCAAGCCCATGCCTCGTTCAGATGTGAGTCATCGTCAGGACTGGGTAGGGAACACTGACCCGGATGCTCGTGTCGGCATCTGAGAAAACCCCAGGTTTCAATGCCAGCAAGAGACCCGCAATGGCCTGGCAAGGCCGCCGTTTTTGCGACGCTTTGCCCCGGAGAAGGCACACCCTTCAGAAGACAGCTCTTGCTGCGCATCACAACATTCTGACAGAGGCAGGCTTTCAGCCGGCTTTTTGACAAGTGCATATGCGTGAGAAACAAAACAGACTCAGGTGAGGCAATAGACCTGGCAGACTTCTTGAGCCAGATGCTCAATGATTGAACATTATGGACACAGGCTGAATTGGAAGTGCCGTGTTCAGGTTTGAACTTACACACAGCCGTGCTTGCTTTGTGCTTGCCTCAGACTTTCACTCAAGATTTGCACAGTCGGTACCTCGATCCCTGCGGTTGAGCTGCACAAGGCGAAGATTGGAGCATTTCCAGCATTGGATCTTTGAAGGGCATGGCCCCCACTGCTGCGATGTTGTTCAAGATAAGTCCAGGCTTGAGATTGAAGTTCCCCCCGGTTGAACAGCCTCGACGCGCCTGTGAGTCGTTTCTTCGTGCATGTTATGCTGCAGTAGATGTTGAAGTGATGCATGTTTGGTTTATGCTCCCACAGCAACTGCCACTCGCATGTCATCCTCCCGTGCACCAGTCTGGCTTGTTGACCGTAGACGCTGAGGTTTGGTCGAAGCAGCGAGGCGAGCGCTGTTTTCCGCCCTGGTTTTTGATGTGAGCATGCATACTGCAGGGTTGTCTGGACCCCTTTGCAACAGGAATTCGCAAATTCGGATCGCGGCCCACGAATTGCAAACACCACTTCCCACACAGTCGTTTTTCAGACCCAGACCCAGTCCGGCACTAGGCAGAAGTGCCATGGGCTTCCCGCCTTCCCGCCCATCACACCGGTACCCGGTCAGGTTTTCCGCAAAGTATTCAAGGCCTTGGGTCCACCTGAAGGGCCTTGCCGGCACGATTGTCGATGGGCAGCCACATGGTTTGCAGCAGCCGCTGTACTGACATATTTATGCCGTGTCTGGCGGCGCTGTCGGCTCGTTTGGTCAAGCAATTACTGTGGCCAGGAAAGGCTTGAGCCGCAAGGCATTTGCCGAAGGCGCCAAAGCATTGGGATATCCTGGTGCAGATGTTCGCGTCATCCGGTCAGTGCCCGGACCTTTGCCCGAGCCAGTCGGGTGTTCGACTGGAAGTTGCCTCGCAGCGGCAGGGCTTAGTTATTTTCACTTGATACTTGTACTTCGGCCTCACGACCGGTCAACCGGCCACTGCTTGCTTGTGCCGTGGCGATCATTCAGCGAATCTGCAAGCTAAGATTCTCGCTGCTGGATCGCAACTTTGACGGGGAGGTGGGCATGGATTTTATGCCTGGAATACTTGTTTAACAGGTGGACTTTAGTCCTGCACACCTTTCCACATCACCAAAGAGAGCAAAGGGACCCATCGGCTGTAGAAGCTCAAACTCGCAGATCTCCGCCCGCGAATTCCAGAAGCTCCTGGAGTTTCGTGGCGAGGATGTCTTGCGGAACTTGGAGGCGCTTTGTCCTTGCCTGCTCTGACTCTTCACCTTCGCGTACCTTCTGGTCTCTCCCTCCTGCAGGCATGTCGTACTCATCTTGACTGTGCAAGGCCCTGAAGCGCTTTGTCGACACGATGCTTGGTGGTTTCCTGCTGAGATTGCACAGATCCGGCTCTGCCTGATGCAGTGTCTGCTGCACCGGCCATCACATACCTATGCGCACGCAAGGCCGGTTTGCAGTCAAGATACAAAACACTAGGGCTACGGTAGGCCTGGGTCTACTTGATTCATGCACGAGCTCCAGAAGAGGAGGTTCCCATCGGAGAGAGACCCTTGATCTTGAGGGCAGCTGGGTGCCAAGGTATCGATGCATGTTTTGCGAAATTTGTGGAGCGCGAACCGGAGCCCAGCTTCCCTCGTGTGAGTTGACAGGTAGGCGGTTCGGTGAAGAGCTTCAGACCTGTAGTCCACACTGCCCGCGTCTGCCCAGCATGTCCTTCTTCGGCTGAGGAGCGTGCTCTGCAGGGTTTGCCTGCCTCGCGGCGTTCTCGGAGTTTTTGAGCCGATGAAAATGCAGGGATCTTTGCCATCAGGCCGAAAACTGCTAGCTATGAAGCCTTCCAGAAGACCTGTGTGCAGGCGCAGAGCGGTGCAAGACACTCATAGCCTCTTTGGAGCTGGTACCGCTTTGCACCAGGCTGGGTTCAGCAAGGTCGCGCCCAAGGCCGCGTGCTGCACAAGATGGCACGGCCGTGTGATCGATGTAAAAAACAAAACGGAAGGAACAGCTATTTCTGCTCTTGCATTGCCTAGCACGTTCTGCTACTGCAGAGGTCGCTGTCATAATTTTGTCGCTGCCAGAATTCCGCCCATACGTTGCAGACACCCTACTGGAGGATTTGTCAGCACAGTTGAAGATGGATCTCAAAGGGGTTTGAGCTGAAGATAGCCGAAGTATTCCCACTCAGTAATTTCTGCTGTCAATGCGCGTCACTGAGTTCAATTCGCATGGCATGCAGGTTGCACGGACAATCGATGCCCATCCAACGTTTGAGGAATTGTAGCGCGATTTTGCTTTCATCTGTATACTTAGAGGGAGGTAGCAGAGAAGCGTTTGGACGAGGGATGTCCGGTTGGCGAAGCAGAGGGGTCGAGGGGAGTCTAAACTCCCGGCGCAGCCTCGTGATTTTGAGCTGCAGATGTTCTATAGCAAAAGCTCCTTGCAAGTTCAGACGACCGGCATGAAGTGAGGCATTTGTTAATAATGACATGAACGGATTTGCTCACAGAGCGCTCTCAAGACTGGGCGGAGGTCTTAGCCTCGGTAAACGGGTAACCCTGAAGCATGGAAGAGCTTCCACTTGCACAACAGCCCAAGCAAGGTCCTGCTCCTGGGGAGTGTGCCCAGAGTGATTCAGGCCCAATCCCTCGTCCGCTTGTAAACCAAAGCGATTACTACAAAACTTGGGCCAAGACAAGACTACGTGTATGAGGCAGAATACCTTTAGCGGCTAAGATTCGCCGAAACGCTAATTCCTGAGCTTGGGAACGAGCGGGCAGATTAAGCTGCTTGTGTATGTTCCACCAGTAAATTGGCTTGAGCTGTGAAGCCGTTGTCCAATGTTGCTTCGGAGTTACCCTGCAACGCAGGCTTCGTCCTTGCGAGGCAGGAGGGACAACCCTAGTAAGAGTGATAACGTTTGTAGTGGTATTACTACTGATAAACCCAAAGATGAGGTTCTAAACACTATTCTCAACTCCGCTGGCAAGACCTCGTAAATCGCACTCTTCCGTACTCCGCCACTCCGCAAGACATCTTAGCAAAAGAAAGGTCAGGTAGGTCAATCAAAACTTTCGTCCTCCCTATGTAATTGTTAAATTTTGGCTAAGTGTAAAAGCCAACAACAGATCTTACGGGTACTTCACCCTATCATGCAGCACACACATGAGAGGGAGAGAGACTTGGTTGGAAATCCACACAGAACTTCTTTTGGGAAGGGATGCCAGAACAGCAATGTTGCTTCGCATGTGTAAACGTCTGCGATCTCCAAGCTTGAGTTTGCAGTGCTTGTTGGGAAGCAGCAGTCATGAGAGCGCCGCTATCCAGAGGAAAGGGCGCTGCCACTAGATCAGAGTTCCTGAGCAAGCCACACGAAACTTCACGAAACTGTGTGCACCAACATAGATCCCCACAGTGATAGACCAGAGCGAAGACCACTTGGCCATATCCCGAGACCACTGCGAGACCACAACAAAACTCCATGTCATGACATGTCCGTGATGACGAGACCAGACGGGACAGTACAATGTACGCGGCGCCCTGGGCTGTCACACCACAGCGGAGCCGTCGAACTGCCATTCACCTGCTGAACCACTGTCGGTGCCGGTACCTTATTCACTTTACTCGAAAAAGTAAGGCCTACTCAACACCTTGTCTCGGGAAATGCACGCAAACAAAGACGCCAATCGCAAGTTGATCGCTTAACCGAAGTTTCGTGTTGCCTTAACAAGCCTGGCCTCTCCTCCCGTTTCAGACAATGCTTCTGTCGCCTTGTCGAAGCTACTGAGGGCTGCATGCCATGCATGCAGTGGTTCAAGGAGGGCGAAACACAAAAATGCGAGACTGCTATTCGAGTTCTGTTGGAAAGTTTACAGCTGGGCCTTTGCCTGTCTGTTGAAGAGGCAGACCTGAAGATGCTGTTCCTATTCCTGCATGAGATGCCCGGGCGGCAAGCTGGATGCTCATGTGTATTCATGTGTAGTGATTCAAGTGATACTAACGTACTATACTCCTGTCGATAAGAGATGCAGAAACTTTTGAGGCAACAGGCTACTTGAGCTTCAGCGAGTGGTCGCTGCTCAAGGGGCCGGGGCCCTCAGCTGCTGAGGAAGACCTCTTGGCTGTCAGTCGAAACCTCAAGGAAGGGTGCTCCACCAACTTCAGAATGACTTCTTTGGACCGTGAGGTTCCAGTCCAAAGCCATTGCCGGCAGCGATGGCCTAAGAAGCAACTTCAAAGGCAGGCTTCGAACCCGTCATAGTGCAGGCCAACATGATCCGGCAGCTAGTCTCTGAAAGTAGAAAATGCAGAAGTTCTCGTTACTGAGACGCTGCTTTGCATTAGTGCAGACTGCCGCCGAAACCCGGTCATCTGTTTCAACCAAGGGAAGTCAAAATGAGAGGCAGAGAGAGAGTGAGAGAGAGACCGACAGCGGGGCGAGAGCAATGCACAACAAAGAAGTTGCTCTTGCTGTGGAGTGCCCGACCTTTGTCGCATGCAATACCATGCGCCCCTACAACAGCACGGGCTGCTCCCGCGGGTGCGTGCCCTCAAGCCTGGGGAAAGAAAGAGAGAGAGAGAGAGAGAGAGAGAGAGAGAGAGAGGGCAAGGCCAGCCGTAGGTACTACTTGGGGGGATTCGCCTGTCGCAGGGACTTAGGATAGTGCTGTAGAGAGCGCGGGGACGAGGCCGGGAGGCACGATAAAGTACAGGGTCAGGGAGGTTTACCGACAGGCGAACTCCACAAGTTGCAACGACCATGGGGAAACAATCCCCAAGCGCTGCTGCCCCAAAGCCCTTTTCCACCGTAGACGGGGGAAGGGGGGCGCCTAGGCGCGGGCTCCTCGGAGCTTGACCCCAGTGAAGTGAAGTGAAGGGCAAGTACAGAGACGCTCGCCTTGAGGGGGTGGGCCTTCGGGCCAGGGGGTTCCCCCGGGAGCCCATACCCCGAAGCAAGCAAGCAAGCAAGCAAGAGATGGGGCAGCTCAGGGGCAGAGTTCATTGTGTAAAATTCCGCCAGACTCAGACAGTGGTGTAGTGTAGCGCATGCGCGCAGGGAGGGGGGGTTGCCTGCCCTGCTTCCCAAACGCCCCGCAAGCAAGGGAGCGAGAGAGAGAGAGAGAGAGAGAGCCATTTTGGCTCAGGTCGGAAGCCACCCCCGGCTTGAGCCACATGTTGCAACACTCTGGCACGAGTAAGCTGAGTAGTTAGGGGCGTCCACTGCGAGAGCATGCCATGGCCCGAAGTTGCAGTCCTCCGAAAGAGAAACAATCTACACATCGTGTCCAAACACACTCCGATTATTTCATGGGCATTTAGTTCCTGGACGCACCCTGGGTGTGATGTCGTGCACGGGTGTGCCTTTCCAGAGGGAAAGTGGAACCTCGGCCACCGCTGGGGGGGAAGGTGACTCCGAGGGGGGTTTCCGTAGCCGGCCCATCACCCGGGGGGCGACTACACAAGCCAGGAGAGGCTTACTAATGCTTGCGTGTTTTTCTGCCACCACTTTAGACTGCAATGATGGACGGAAACGACCTGCACACGGCGATCCCTCTCCCGAAATGGGGGCAAGCACAAAGAAGCAGAGTGGCCAACAACGGGGCGAGTGGGGCAGACAACCGCACCGGGACGGACGCGACGGAGCAAGTCGCGAGGGATGCGGAGGCTAACGTCAGAGACATTCAATTTCTTGGGATTGGGCCGGAAATGGTTCGAAGGACATAGCAATACATGATATTGTCACATGCACCCAGAGGTCGGGATTCCCCGAACGGTACACCTTGAGATGAAGGAAGCAAGGAAAGAAGCGAGCGAAAGAAAGAGCAGAACACAGCGACTCAAAAGTAACTAAGCTTCACAGAACACAGCAAGCTATTGTCTAAATTGGACAAGTTTTGACGGCAGGGCGTGGGTGCGAGGGATCAGCATAGCCAGCAGGCTGTGCTTGCAAGCTGGTAGGCTGGCCCAGGCTGTCTGCTGCCAAGAAGCGGCAAGGTATTTGGAATGTGCGAGGGCTATCCGTTGAAACTAATTGTGGAACAGGTCAGCTCAGGCCAGGTCAGGTTGATCGACAGCATTCCAGATAAAGCTGTTGCCAAGGTCCCGCACGTTGCAGCCTCACTTTACTGCAGCTGCCCAGAACATTCACAGCTTTCAGACGGAAGCAAGGTCTCCGACGCATCATCGAGGAGGTATACGGAGATGTTGATGAAGCTTTCCAGCCGCAGACCTGGTGCGCCATCAGTGCACAGCCTAATCCTCATGATAAAATTGTCTGGTGGTCCAGTGAGTACTGGACGCTAACCTATGGCAAGGGGGAGCCCCAAAGCGAGAATAAACGAAAACACGACCTCGGAACACATGATGCCTCTCAGGCGAATGCACACAGCCTGGTTGCGAAGGGCTTTGGCCAAAGGCACTTTGCACCTTTCGATGCAGTCCGTTGCATTTCAGAATTCCGTGCGCCCATGCTGTGACTGCATGGCTTTCACGTTCACAACTCCAGATATACAGTTTCGGATAACCTCCCTTCTTGTCGGGCAGGATTGAAACAGACCGCCCTGGCTGGACTCATGCATTGCGTTCTTACTCCGAAGCCGGTGAGCCTTGAGCGCGCGCAACGAGCCTCGGGAGAAGTGCACGATCGATTCGAGTGACTCGAGTGCTGTGCAGACGGCTGCTTAAGGCCCAGCAGAGCTGCAGGCAGCTCCGTCCTGGCCGACAGCGCACGTCTCGGCTCTCGTGTTGCAAGTGACTACAGGTTGCAGGTCTCTTTCTCTGTCTAGACGGTCACGAATGTGCTTCGGCAGGCGGCCTTTCGGCCCTAAGAGTTGCCGGTGGCTGAGCACACGCATCCTCAGCGGCTGAAATCAGACAAGATGTTGCGAGTTTCAGAGAGCGACATCGCCCAGGGAAAACCACCTCTTCCGATTGGCTCAGAGAGGCAACTCCGATCGCGAAAGCTCGCGCAGCAGGGCTTGAGTTTTAAGTCTTGCTCTTAGCAAGGAGGCATCGTAAGATCATGAACCGTAGCCAGCAGCCGGCCGACTTCCCGTGCCCGGATGCAAGAAAACAAGGAGGCAGTCCAGGGCCACAAACCAGCGTATTGTCGATAGTGACAACTTTTTTGGGGGCGCAGCCAAAATATGAGACATCCATAGACATCCGCAATCAGTGCCGTCCAGAAGCCGCGGGCGGTCCAAGTTTAGGGTTATGACGCCAGATCAAACCATCAAGTTGTGACAACCAACGCTTGCCAGGATTCGCGCACGGCGCATCCTCAGGAACGGCAGTGAGAAGGACTTCATTGGGCTTGCTTGCTTGCTTCCGTTTGGTTTTTGAGGTTTTGCGAGGTTGTCTTGCGTCCATGAGCTGCATGCAGCACAGCCTTGCTCATGGCATGATCCGTGGGCCTCAGGAAGCAGCTACAGTATAGGATCACCCGCAAAGGCGTGCATTGTGTCCGAGAGCTGCGGAAGGCCTCGAGAGAAGCATCTCCGGGCCGCACCACACCACCGCCATCCCTGACTCCACTTCCGCCAGATCTGGCCCAGGGGCGCTGGCCTTAAACCACCTCAGCCCGATCATGCTTTGGCTTCTCAAGTTGCGCCAATTCAAGAGATTCCTGCGATTCAGAAACTGCGGCTAAGAAACCAAGCGGACGAGGATAGCAGTGAATAACTTTTCGGTTCCCCCTGCTTCGCCTCTCGACAAGAAAGGACGGACAAGGCCGGCATAGACAGACACCAAAAGTCCCCTCTCTCGCCTCGGGAGAACCAGAGCAAGGACAAGGACGGGGACCTTTGTGGTACTTGTAGGTATTGAAAATCCCCGCCTTGCGCCTCGCGAATAACAAGAGGATGGTAGTGATAGAGATTCAATTCCCCCATGCCGCCTTGCGAAAACAGAGCGAGGGTCCCCCTTTCCCTTTGGCTTTGCCGGAAACAGAGGGAGCTAAAGATTGCAGTGAGGATATCTGGATATGAAAGTCTTCCTTCTCGCCTCGCCAAAGACAGAAGAAACCAGCCCGTTGCGCTGAAGATTGATCCATATCTTAGCCTCTCCCCTCGTTGGACGAAGGCGGACTTATCCCATACCTTAAACCAACCAGGCAGCACCCTCACTAGGCTTGTAATGCCACATCTCGAGCCCGACCCCCGATTGCAGTAGGCTATGGCAGTTGACCCATATCTCAAAACCAACCCTCATTCGCCGGTTGATGGATGGCATTTGTTCAGAAACCGCCCTCTCTTAGACCCACGGATTGTTTGAAAACCCGACCCTGCATTAGCAAGCCAATGCAATTAAGCCTGGAGTGCGGGCTCGTCCTAGCTAGGTAGGATGCAGAATTAGCCAATGGCGACCCCATATCTAAACCCCGGCCCCTCATTGGGCGACAACGGTTGATCTTAAACCCGACTCATGACGATGCGATGGAGGGTGGTCCCTATTCTGAAACCTCATTGGGCGGTGGCAGTTCCTGGCACGTTGTAGGCGACCGCGGTTGCTCGCAGGCTCAGACTCGCCCCCTCTGTGCGATGGCGGATATCTGAATCCCCTCGTTGGGCGATGGCAGTTGCGGACGACCCGATCCCGTTTTAAAAGCCCGACCCCTCATCAACCAAATATCAATGGCCCGCTCATTGGGCAATCAAGGGCGGTGGATCCCATACTGTGCATCCACCGCATCGTAAAGCCTGCAATGAGATTCTTTGCAAATGGTGCAAGGCTTTGCAGATCTCTGCAGAAAAGCAGTTCTGCTTCAGGAACAATCCCATGCGGACCACACGCACACAAACACACACATGCGAGGCAACATCCTTGACCAGCAGCCTTTCCAGCGTTTTAGATCAGGGCGCTGCCATGCCTGGCATCCTCATCCTTGACACTCTTGTTTGATGAGTTTTGCCATTTGGCAGCTTTGTAGCACCATCTAGAGCAGACAGAGACAATCGTCGCTCTCGCATCCAAAAACTGCGCCTAGCCATTCTGCGCTTGCAGTTGGACTGTCGCGCATACTTGCCCCTGCTATATCCTTCACTTCTGGCCTGTTCGACTCTGTATTTGCGAGGGTTTCGTGTTTCTTCTAGGCCTTTCGGAAATTCGACTTTCTCGGAAGGGTGGTGGGGGGCGGGGGAATGATGAGCCTGTAGAAAACAGACTCCTGCGTGCCTGTAGGCCTGTACCTTTGTGAGGGTATAGGCGCCCAGGTTACATCTCAAGGGGGGTCAGGGAGGGGATCATGACGTTCAGGACTGGAGTCACGATGATGGTACTGCTTGCAAGGATGTTTCCGATGATGACGATGCTGCTGCTGACGATGCTGATACGATATGATGCCTTAAGTGCAAGCCCAAACCTGAAAGATCCTCACAGCAGCTCCAGAAAAGAGTGTTTTCAAGCAGTCAGGTTTTGACCAACAAAAGGTCATGCTCAAGCGAAACGCAAAAAGTAAGCCCAAACGAAGCGCAAAAGCCGTGAAGCTAAGAGTCATACTGCTTCCGCGCCTCTACTAACTAATGTTATTGAACCAAAGCCCCTCTTGAAGCCTGCATCCATGATCTATCGCGTTTCCCAGTGTTTTCGTGCTCCCAAAGTCATAAACCTGTAGGGGCGTCCATGTGCAGCACACCTTGTAGTTCCCCAGTCTGCGCTGTTTGTGTCCGGATCCTGGTTTGCGAATCTGCGATCTTTACTTTCCGAATCCACACGCCACCGTGAGGCTTGTCTTGAGTGAAGGTGCCTGTGGTGTGTGCCGAGGATCCCTGCAGGCCGCCCTGCGAGCGCCTCCATGCTTGCGCCGGTGCGGCACAAGCCTGTAGGCCAGGGAACTAGGGAACTAAACCCCAAAGCAAGCATGAAACAGCTGCGAGTTCGCTTGACTCTGGTGCAATGCAGGAGCTATCCAGACATACACTTTCTTTGAGTTAATGTTTGGCCAACTCGCAGGCTTGCTTCCGCGGAAAGCCCTGCTGCCGCCTGCAAGGTTTCGGCCTCACCAGCACATGCAATAGGCATAGTCGCGTAGTTTCCGCATGTGTGCAGCTGTAGATCAAAACCCGGACTGTAAACTGGTCGAATCTTGCGACTGATACTGGGCGCAAGTAGTAGTTGGTACTCAGCAGCCACATAAGTGAGCTGGTTCTGGTTGCAAGAAAGTACTTCAGCAAGCAAATAAGCAAGCAAGTACGGTCAGCAAGTAAGCAGGTGGGTAGGTAGTTTGTAAATCGTAAAGCAATGCACGTCAAAGCAAAGCAAAACACACGTAGGTAGACTGTAAGTAGCGAAGTACGGAAGTAAGCAGAAACAGAAGCAGGAGATGTTTGGTATGCAAAGATTTTGAAGCAGGTATACAGATGCACATGACTGGCTTCGAACTACGAGCTACACGAACTACCACGAATAGCAGCGTGGAGCCCTTCTCCGCCGCTTCCTTCAAGATCCTTCAAGGACGCGAAGGGCTCCCAGACTACAGGGACAAGAAGCGCTACAAGGCTAAGGAGGACAACCGGACCCAGGACGAGCAAGAACGTTTGGAGAACATCAACTACCACAAAAAACCCGCAGGGACCTAGGAGCACAGCAGAAAGCACAACCACAGGTCGGTTTTCATCTGCTACGTGTACCACCACGGCCCCACGGCCACGAGCACCGCGAAGAAGAGCCACCCAACACCTCCAACCAGACTTGAACAAAAGGTAAGTGAGTAAGCCAACAACCCAGTAATTAAGACAGCACTTGTCCCGAAATAAGATTCAATTTGCAAGGTGCCGAGGTGCGAACTAGGGGTTTGGTATGGTCTGGTCCAATTCGGTGAAAAGAGGTGACAAAGGTAAGGCTAAAGGTGGGAAGGCCAAAGGTGATGGGAATAGCAAGGTCAAGGGCAAAGATGAGCAGGTGAGCAGCCTCCCGACACCCCTGCAACGCAGTCTCCTGATGCAAGCATGAAGCTCGCATGTCATGGTATCGGAGGGTGAGCAAGCAGTGCGAGAGGAGCAGGGGTTCACCAACCGAAAAGTTGACATTGTAGCCTTGCGCAAGTCTTCTGCATAAAAGCGCGGTTGTCTAGCAGTGGGGGAGGGAGGGGCACAAGGAAGTTTGGAAAAGCTATGTGAAACATTGTGCAACTGCCCTACAGCGAGCCCAAATCCATTGGAGGAAACGAAATTTCACCGTGGGACCTCGGGGCTCATCCAGAGGTTCACACAGAGGAGGGCGGGGAGGGTCAGGCGGCCAGGTTAGTAGGAAGGGGATCAAGACGAATTAATTGCATGTCCGGGAGCGGGCATGTCAGTATAGTAGGAGTAGTAGTACAGGGGCTGCAGTGGCGGAGGTACAAGCACCAATACCAGTGCCGCCGACAAGTACCGAATGCCGCTCCTCTTACCCCGCGCGTCCTGTAGCACTCTTCAGTGGGCTGGACAGTGATTGCTCTTGGGGTTAGGGGTTGGGTTATGCTTAGTGTTCCAAGCAGAAGCGGTTGGTTGTTCGGTTGATCACTGCCCCAAGTGTCCTGTGTTGTGCATTTCTTTCATTAGGCAAGCCCAGATTTCGGCAGTCGAGCGGAATACGATCCAGGCGCTGTGGTCGGCATGTGCAAGCATTCCTTTATTGATGGTGTTCATTGTTGTTTTGCAGCTGCATTCGGTTCCAACTCGTTTTCATTTGTATGTTCGCACCACTTCAAGCAGCATAATGCTCTTGAGATATGCACTGTGATGAGAATCTGTGCCTGCGCCACAGTGAGAGAGTACGAATCACGCCTGCAGGGGAACGAATGCGGGACGTCAAATTCGGTAGTGAGGTAGTGCCAGTTTCACCCACACCTCATGTTGCCAGTACTCCGGGCCTGTGTCTTCTTCTGTGCCATTTGCAGTCGCTTCATGGCTGAGTCATAGCGAGCTGACATCTGGGCACCGTTAAACCGAGCGAGCCCAATATGCTAAGATGTCGGCCGTTTGCGCGCTTGTTCTCCACGTCTTCAGTGCACAAGCTTCCGGAAGTTGTGCCGATTGTGCTGGTTGCACAACAGTCTATGCTGCTTGCCTCGACGGCTCACTGCACAAAGGGAGAGCGCTGGTCGCGATGGCACTGCTACAACCAGAGGCAGCACCCCGGCACGTCAAACTTCTCTCACAAGATTACAGGTTGCCCGTTTGCAGACTGTGCAGCTGCTTCAATTTCATCTGGTGCCGTGAGAGTAGACCTACGGAGGTGCTTTATAGCAGTGTGTTAAAGGGTCCATGGGATTTGCTGTTTTGGTAAGAAGCGGGATGACATGCAACCTTCAAGATCGCAAGTGCAGCCCAGAGGGCCACACAAAGCCTTAGAAGTTCGAGCTGTGTTCGTCGAGAGCTTGGACTATTGAATAAGCATACCACGATGTTGCGAACTTGCGATAGAAGGGTTGATTGGTAGAGTCTCAAGCGTTGCTGTCAGTGCAGCCTCCGCCGCTCTACTTCGACAAGGGATGCCGACAACTTTGCACTTCTTTGCACGAGGCCTGGGGAGCACATGGCTGACCCAGCTTCTGATGGCTGGCCTGCGGGCAAGGCATGATAGTAGAGTGTGAGATGCGGACTGCACGACTTGCACTATCCGGGATCCCAGCTGCTTAACTTAGTTGTTCATTGCCGGCCAGCTTGCAGGTCTTCGAAGCTGCGCCACAAGGTTGGAAGGCTAATTAGCGCTTACTGCATCTGTGGGAGACAGCCAGAGACGGAGACGGACGTGGCGTGCTTCTACTGCTTGCACATGCCGTCCTAGCAAACTCAGTCAGGTTTCACTTATGATGACTTGGTGTTCATGCCCCAGCCGTCCTCATTCGATGCCTCCGATGTGGACTTGTCCAGCTACATTACAAAGAACATCAGGCGCGATTTCGGAGCTTGACCACACATACTCACACGTCCGAATACGTCCTCGCACAGGTTGAAGTCGCTTGGGCCACAGTTCCCAAAAGTTCAACTGCATTGCATTGAGTGGCAGATCCAGAGCCCGTGGACTCGACGTTCCGTGACGTTCTGACCTGACCGACCGGACTAAGGCCGATCATCGGCAGCCCTTCCGACACTGTTACAGATTCCAACATGGCCATCGCTTTGGCCCTCTCTGGGGCCATGGGCATCATTCATGCAAATCAGGACATCCAGCGGCAGGCGACTCGACGTTCATAGCATGGCAGAGCGATGGGGTCCTTTCAAACGGGAGCCCGGTGTGCTTTTTTAGCTCATTTCTGCCTTCAGATCACTTGAAGTGCCTGACGTCCTATCAGGGCCACGGTCTTCGGTTCCCGGGCTCCTTGATGTTGTCTTGAAATCAAGCCGTTTTAAGTAAGGGACCTCGGCATGTGGCGAAATTCCGTGCGTTCATTGTTTAGGCTTTACATAGACTTCCCACGACAGACCCTCGTGTCCACCTCCCAAATCGTGCTCCCACCCATGCGCCGTGCATGCTTTGGCTGCGACTCGTGTTTGTGCCTGCGAAAATCTTGCGGCACTTCCGCGCGCATGCTTGCCTTCCGCGCAGCGGTGCGTATTCTGGAATGTGCATGATGGACTCAGGGGTTGGGAGCCTCAGGGGTGCCTGGAGGGTCGGTGGGCTGTTAGGTCCTAGGTGCTCTTTCACGGCTCAGGTCATAATGTCGAAGTTTCCGGTGCATCCTAACGAAAGACTTGAGCAAGAGTTTGTCTAAAGCAACATGCTGTTCAACGTCTCGACCAGGTTTCCATGGTACAAGCCGTGAAACGGTTCGTCAGCGGATTTGTTCTGGAACCTGTGGTCATGCGGCCGACGCACACCCTGGCGGACTTGGACAAGCTGAGAGCAGCCACTGGCATCAGTACTGCATCTCGGCTTAAACACGATGTAGAGACTGCTCCTGCAATTCGATACGTGGATTGAAAGTATACAATACAAGTTTGAGGCCATGATGTGATACTCGGCAAGAGACTGCCTTTTGCGTTGCAAGGTGCCGATAACAGACACTGGCGGGCTGGGTGGTGAGCTTCTGGGCATTGCGACTTGGTACAACGAAATGTACGTTGTAAGAGTGCTCCTTATATAAGCCTGCCGCACCCGCAGCCCAGCGCCGAAACTCAACTTGCAAACAGCTTGGTTCGGGCCGTTGCATCTTGGTAAGGGGCGCAGGCTGTGATTAGGGTTTGGGAGATCCGAGCAGGGGCCTTCGTTGCAGAAGAGCCTGTTGACTCCACCTTCGTGGGGTTGACATTGATCTGCACGAAAAGGGAAGCCGGGCCACAGGAAGTCGCAAAATGTGGCCACATGCCACCATGAAAAACGTTGGGATGCAACCTTCACTTGCCGGCACCGGGCATGGCACGAGCATAGCGTCTTCATTGATCGCCCCGGCAGCAATGTCGCACGAAAAAGGCGGCCTTTGTGCCCAGCCGTTTAGCTGTCGATGCACGGGGTGTGCAAGTTTCCGATGCACAGCACTGCAGAAACTTGCTGCATGCGCATGATTCAAGGAACATAGGAACTCAAGTAATAGTACTACTGTGGAAGCCAGCACACAACACCCGCTTCCCTGGCATCCCAGCAAAACCCCTGCAACACAGAAACCGCCTTTGAGTGTTCATTTAGCCTTACAGTTCCTGCTTAATGATAGCATGTTCCATCATTTCGCCGGATTGCTTGCTTTGCCCGCTTTGCGTCTTGTCCGAAGCATGTTTAGAGGCACGGACCCCCCGAGGTGACTGCGCGAGATGCAGATCTTTGCACAGATCGCCGCGAGTATCTGTCAAGCCTCTAAGCTTTACCGCAAATTCCAAGAAATGTCGCAACGGGCAAAATTGCGGGGTTTGCTTTTGTTCCTGTCAACCTACACTTCTGTCGCCATGGCGGGACCGGCTCTCCCCTCTCCTTGGCCCTAAAGCCAAGGAGTGATGACGGAGCGAGTGGTCACTGCAAGAGAGCCTCTTTCCTTTGAAGAAGCGCTCGACACGCTGAAGCGGGCAAAGGACCTCTATTTTTATGTTTTGTGCATGGGCTTTCCTGAGTCTAGACTACGTGGCACTCTCGAACTTGTAGGGTGTGTGGAGAGCTGCGACCTCGATCTCGAGCGGCAGGTTGGAAAGTTATTGATCTTGAACTCCGACGATCAGCTGGTGTCGATGGTAACACGCAGTGATCTCAAAAAGGTCAGAGACTTTCCAGGCCGGAGCCTGCACAAGCTTGAGAAGCTTCGCTGGCAGACTAAGCAACGAATAAAATCGAAACCGTCCAAACAAATCGAGATTCTTCCTGAACAGCACCACCCGAACGGTTTCAACAGTTGCCCCTGGTCCAGACATGTCGCGAGACTTGAGCGGCAAGCTCCTGGTCGGTGCTGCCGTGCCAGCCTTGCCCGATGGATCCCAGGACTTTGGTTCTGTACGCATGCGCCTCTTAAGCCGTGGCCAGACTCGAGCGCCTGATAAGACATGTCCTTCTTCCAGTTCTAGGATTGGCCTCGAGCAAGCGCTTTGGCAGAGGCTCGTGTATAGAGAAGTAAGGAGGAAAAATGTGCAGCCTACGGGCATTTTGCAAGTCGAGTTGACCTACTGTCTGCCCAGCGAATGCTCTTCGTTTTGGAGCTACCGAATCCTGAGCAGGCGCAGTCATGTAGGGCTTGCAGGGATGCACGTACGTGCACATGCAGCCCAGTTCGGGTTGTCCCTGCTTAGTTGGCTCAACTACTCCACCAAAAAGGCTGTTTTACACTCGTCGGTCCTTTCACACACGTACCTTTGTCTGTCGGTCACATACTGGAGGTGCCGTGGGTGCAGACGGAAAGTAGAAACAGGAAAATAGATTCGAAGTAGTGGGCGTTGAAGCAACAAGGAGCTCAAGCACTTGAGTGTAGAGTTGTGGGTTGTAGCATGCCTCACACACGGCTTCGCATTTAGGAATGTTTCAGGTTTGAACGTGAGCTTGGGGCATAGTTGGGGCGTCATGGTCGCGCCCCGGTTGCCTTCACTTCTGGACATCTTAAGCCTTGCGTGTTGTGCACATGCTGCAGCAACAAGCACTCCCACAAGTGGCTGAAGTTCCGGAACCTGTGTGCGGGACTCCCAATTGCGCTCCAACCAAAACAGATCATTCTCAATATTTAACAGGCTGGGGCAAACGTCCTCTACCTCTTTGGCGATGGCGTGGATGAGCAACTTGCATTGCCCAGCTCCTAGCAACCTGTGCCCATGCACTGCAAGAAACAGTCGTTTAGCCATGAAATCGAGCACTTGCCTTTCACGTCTCCCCGATGGATGGGGAGACAAATCTTCGCTGCGGGGGTCTCAGGATCAGACGGCTGAAGATCGACTATCCTTCCGTTGACGTCCTCGCCGGACCAGCAACTTCAGTGCGAGAAGCAAGGCGATTGGTGGAGGAGAGCTTGGGCTTTGAGACTTCAGAAGCGGCTGCTTATGAAGTTGCACGTGCTTTGTCCAACAAAGTTTCAGTTGCATCGGGTAGTCAGGCAGGAGCCGATGGCATCATTGCGGGCTCGGGCAACGATGCAGGCGCTGCAACATGCTGTAACGTTTTTCCCAGAAAAAGTTGATCAAAGCTGTGGTATGTGGTCAGCCGAGCCTCTCACGTGTGTTTACAAAGTTCGTCGTTGTAATGAGTTCCTATGCACGGCACGTACGTGGAGCCTGGGCTGGCACAGGAGCTGATCCAATGGCCGCACCTCTTGCAGTTGCAGTCGGACGAGGCAATAAGCGAGTCTACAAACCATGTCCGCACTTTGCGCAAGCAGGATGTCTGCTCACAAAGGATGTATGCGGGGCGGGGTTTTATGGGGCAG